AGGCAAATGTCAACTGGGCAACAGAACGGCTAAACCTGGTCTCATGAAGGTCGCGCCGTGTGGGGGTACATGGGAAATTCCAATGCCATGACTCATCCCTAGAAGGCAAAAGTCACCTGGGCGTCAACTTGAATAGACAAAGGTTTTTAGTCGTAGGGGTCAGGAAGGTTATACAAAGCCGTTTCAGACATCACTGATCAGTACATCACAGGATCTTGAAAAAAAAAGACCCAAAATGTCCGTGATGTTGGACTTTTTCCATCAAATACAAAATCAAGGCGATCAAGCTTTGCGGATGGTGGGAAACAAGAGAAGAGATTTTAGGGTCTTGTGTGATCAATGTGTTTCAGATGTAAGTCCAAATATTTAGCAATACATGGAGTTCTTTCTCCCAGCTGTATCTTTTGAGATTGATCTGATCTATGCTACAGATATAACACTGAGAAGGTACATGTACTACTTTGTCAGCAAAGTGAGCAGTCAGTTCCCGCCAAGCGTCTGTAGGGTGGGAGTTCCAAACCTGACCGCCGAGTGTGCCGAGCGGGCTTACACTGGGACTTATTCTTTATGGTTATTAACGCTACAAAGTATCTGCCAATCAGTGGCACTCTTCAACGGTGTTGAATGGACGCGTCGTGGCGCAAATACCAGCTCGGCCTGTATGTCTATTCAACATGCATAAATTGTCAAATGTCTTGCACGTTATGTTACATGGCATGAAAGATGCAGAACCGTATTAAAGGACCATACTAGACTCAGTTGATGTGCAAAAAGGAACAGCGTCGCGAATAGTCATCAATCAAAAGCTGTCACACCCAACCTAAGGCACAGACCAGGTTACTAAAACGACAGGGCTTATCTTGGGGGATCATTTAGACAAGAAAGAGTGCCCATTGAAACAAAGCTCATGCTTGTCTTTTTGGCTCGTAGACTTTAATTCTACATGTAGCACCACAGCTCATATGCCCTGTATCAACTTGTCCGCACATTTTAGAAACCCATAGAGAGTGAAGGTTGGACAGAAATATTAAGTGGCGGTAACACAGGTTTTTACTTTGAAAGTCAAAGAAATAAGAGCCGCAATCGTACCTTGAGTTGAATAACTGTGATGTTGCGTCAACAAAACTGGTTTGGTTGTAGTTGCTGAAATTGAATCGTCGGACCAGAGGGGTTCCTGTGAGGTGGGAAACAAGACAAGAGGTTACAGGTCTTCATCATTGTGTTTTAAATACAAGTCAAAACATAGAGCAAGGCTAAGGGTTCTGGTACTCAGGTATTGAGGTATTGAGATTGATCCGGCCGAGGGACGTTGAAAAAACAACAAAGTGTCGGATGATTTGCGACTACCAAACAGTGATATTGTCGCCGCCTAAGTTTAAGTTCTTTCACAATATTTAATGTTACATATTGTACAATTTAGGCTAGGAGAAGGCGGCAAGCATATGCTACGACGGAGCTTAGAACCAATCTCGACACTTACAGTGGTGATCCTCAATTTAATCAAGAGGCGGGTCCTGTGGAAACTTGTCTCTCTGTGTGCTGTGCGTGTAGTCCGCACATACTTTGTCTTTTACTTTACGATTCGTAACGCTACAAAGCATCTACCAATCAGTGGCACTGTAGAATAGACGCGTCGCGGCGCAAATATCAGCTCGGTTTATAGCTGTATTAAATATGCATAAATTGTCAAATATGTTGCTCGTTATATTACATGACATGGAATGTGCAGGACAGGGTTCTAAAGGACCACACTAGCCTTTAAAACTGCACTTGATTCATTTGCAAGAAAGGTACAGCGTCGCGAATAGTCATTAATCAAAAGCTGTCACACCCAGCCAAGGGCACAGACCAGGGCCATTGCAACGACTCGAAAATAAGGAGTGTCTATCGAATTATTGTATGTTAAAACTTTGTCTTTTCGGTTCCTAAACGTTTTTTCTACACATAGCACCACAGCCTATAGGTACTTTGGTAACTTGTCGTCATTTTGGAAACACACAGATAGTGATGTTTGGGTAGAAATACTTAGTAGCGTCAACGCCCACCCTCAAACACAGCATTTTTTTACTTAAAAAGTCAAAGAAACGAGAGCCGTATCTACCTTGAGTTGAATAACAGTGATGCTGCGTCCACAGAAATGCTTTGGTTGTAGTTGATGAAATTGAACCTTCGAATCCGAGCGGTTCCTGTGAGGTGAGAAACAAGAGTGTTCCAAATACAAGTCAAAACATTGAGCAAGGCTTAGGATTCTGGTTCTCAGCTGTATTTCTTGAGATTGATCCTAGGGACGTTGAACAGGCAACAAAGTGTCGGATCGGATGATTTGGGACTACCCAACAGTTATATTGTCGCCGCCTGAGTACAGTTTAAGTTCTTTCACAATATTTAATGTTACATATTGTACAATTTAGCGAAGGCTAGGAGTAGGCCGCAAAAACATCTCGGTCACGACGCTCCAAGCATATGCTAAGACGAAGCTTAGAACCAATCTCGAAACTTACAGTGACTTACAGTGTCTTAATTAATGGGTTACAGATACAACTCCAAATACTGAGAAACACAAATAGTTCTTTTACTCAGCTGTTCCTATTGGGATTGATCTGATCTATGCTACAGCTATGTTCTACGCTATCAGCAAAGTGACCAGTCAGTCCCCCTTCAGGCGTCTGTAGGGCGGGAGTCCCAAACCTGACTCCCGAGTGTGCCGTGCAGGTCTAAGTCTCGCATACAATCGATCTCATACATAGAGCCGATCTCAGAACTTACAGTGAATCGGTGGTGATTCTCAATTCAATCAAGTAGAGTCAGGTCCGATCAAAACCGGTCTACCCGACGTGCTGTGCGCGTACTCCCGCATACAGAAGGTGTTATTGTTTATGATTATTCACACTTCAAAGCATCTAGCAAATACCAGCTTGTCTTATAGCTCTATTAAACATGCATAAATTGAGAAATATCTTGCATGTTATGTTACATGACATGGAAGATGCAAAACAGAGTCCTAAAGGATCGCACTATTCTTAAAACCTGACTCAACTTATCGGGAACAAAACTAACTGAGGGACGGCGTTGCAAATGGTCATAAATCAGAAGCTGTCACATTCACGACGGCAAGTTGGCATATGGGCTGAGGTGTTATATGTAGATTGAAAGTCTGCCAGGGCACTGCTTCTTTTCTGGGGGATTGTTTAGAAAAGAAACAGTGCCCTGGCAGACTTTCAATCTACATATAACACCTCAGCCCATATGTCAACTTGACGTCGTTTGGGAAATTCAGGGATAGTAAAGTTTGGGTAGAAATCTTTACTGGCGTCAACGCCCATGCCCACCCTCAAGCACAGGGCAGCTTTTAACTTAGAAAAGTCAAAGGAACGAGAACTATAACTACCTTGAGTTGAACAACAGTGATGCTGGGTCGACAAAACTGGTTTGTTTGTAGTTGCTGAAGTTGAACCTTCAAACTCGAGGTTTTCTTGCGAAAGCGTTCAATCTACGCCAGGCAGACAGGAATCATGTACGTCCTGGGGCGAGACCGTACGTTTATATATAGTTTTGTCACCGCGATGCCCAACGGCAAGAAACACGCCCCTTATAGTTGTTGTTGTCGGCGTTGCAACTGACCTCTGATAATTTACATATGCTACTTCGGAAATGACCCAGAACCACCGTTTATTACTTACAAAGAGTCAAATTTGCAATACTCCAAGTAAATCGGAATGCATGACTTGACAACGTGTTTATTGCATATTCTATTAGAGGTAATATATAGGCCAGAATATACCTTCAAAATGTAAAGTTATGCATTATTTGTGGTGGTATTTCACCCGTAAGACTGTGATCCATGCTCCGTTTTTAAAATACACAGTAGCATGTTGTTTTATACAGTCTGTGTAACACGACATCAAACTCCAAAGCCACAGAATACATCTCAGCCTTTCATGAAGGGACACAAGATTTATGAGTATCTGTATGTACAGCGTATACATGTATAACACGACAGCGTTGTAGGTACGCGGTCCAGCGGCTAGTGGCTGCATTACACTTTTATTTACCTAACCATTGCATATCTAACTGCCGGCCTTGTTCAAAACTGTCTATCCTAGAGAGGATGCCCCTACGTACTAGCCATTGCATATCTAACTGTAAGCCTTGTTTAAAAGTATCTATTCTAGTAAGGGTGCCTCTACGTACTACTCTGCTTGGTGGCAACGAGTTCCATTCTTCGATAGTTCGAGTTAAGAATGGTATTTTATAATGGTTTGGGGAACTCTCTTTGCTTGGGAAGATGGTTACTATATTTTTATAGATATGTAGGTGATGTTCACAACTTATTAACTAAGCAACCATCGAAGCGAGCAGTCACACAAGAGAATAGTCACACAAGAGAACCACTTTTCTAAGTAAACAGGAATGCATGACACGAGGCAACATGTCCACACTTTAAATGCTGAATTTGATGAGAAGTTTTTAGTCTTAGAAATATGAAAAAAAAGTCAAACTATGCATAAACTTTATTGAACAGCACAAGTGTACATGTACGAGGCACAACCGCTCGAATCTACTGCTATATAACAACAAACATAGTAAGAGACTAATCTGGACCTCCGATTGTCTGAAAGTGTTTTACGAGCCCTGGGGTATCTAAGTCTTATGTTTCCTTCGACCTTAGGTAAACCTAGGCGCTGTGTAACAGCTGTATAACACCTTTGCAAATTGCCCTCCCAGACACTACAATTATAATACAATACAATACAATACAATACAATACAATACAATACAACTACAATATAGTACTAATACAATACAATACTAATCATATCAATACAATATCATAAATTGCATTATGTAGAGTACTTATGTACATTAAGACTTTCGTTCGTCCCCTGTATACATCAGCTACATCTTGTCGATACTTGTCTCTAGAAACTGACACTTCTAGATGGCCTACAGTGGCTGTCAGTGATGTCAACAGTGTAAATCCGCTGGTCTGTACCTGCTCCTTAATCAGTCACACACCTGTTGTACAGGCGGGATGCAGTAGCAACTGTTGCTTGCGAAAAACTGCCGTATATAGGTTCACTGCACTGCTCGTCGGCATCAGGAATCTCTGGGTCTCCGCGATTGGTCATACCTTCTCTGAGGTTTGCTGAGTTGAGTTCTGAAGACGTGTACAGGCTGGAGGATGCAGTTGCCGCTTGACCATCATCAGAATCCTCTGGGTATCCGTCTGCAGAGCTGTATATATTTGCTGAGCCGTGGTTTAGCGAGGTACTAGAATACATGGCAGTAGATGCGACTAGTACTTGGGGATGCTTGTACACAGTGTCCATGCAGTGGTTGTCACTGTGTGGAATCGCTTGATGTCCGTCAAGCATATCTTCTCCGGTAGTGTTGGCATCCGATAACTCATAAAGGCCAGATGGTTCAGTTGTTGCCTGTGACTGTCTGTTGTGTGTGGATTCAGTGTTCTCCGGGGCAGTTACAGTTAGACGTTCCTGATCCAAACCTTCTTCTTGGGCGCTTTGTTGGGTCGACTCTACAGTTGGTGTCGAAGGTTGGTCTTCATCCAGGTGGTAGTAATGTAGATGGTAGTAGTGTAGATCTCCCTCGTCATCAGCGGTACCGTGGTAGGCAGTGTCCGCGATTGGTGGTACGATTTGATTGACATTTGGGTATCCGTGATTGGGAGCTCCTGCAAAGAGATGGGTAACCTGAGTTCACAAAAAACATTGAAAACACAAATAGATAATGTTTACTTTCACATGGTCTACAGTTACAAACTAGTACCCTCTTTACTCAAACACTGGATTCCTATTACATAAACACACAAACAAACCTGTGCTGGCTTTCCTCTTCATCTTAATTCCGAGGAGACATAGGATGAAGGTCAGGATCAGAAAGCTTCCGATGATGGTGATGTAGAGAACTGAGAAGTCGCCATCTTCTCCTTTCTTCCTGCCCATGTTGTTAGCAAACGACTCAGTGGTGTCGTTCTGGTAGGATTCATCTGCTCTTGACTGATTCCATATCGGGTCTCGCCCGGAGCTATCTCCGGAACGGTCGAGGAGAGAAGTTGTATTGTTCTGCTGTCGGCTCTCTGTATCTAGATCTGTGGGGACCATGACAGATTCCGTGGTTGGCCCACAACCCGTCAGACGATTAGAAACTTCTGATAAAGGCAGATTTTTCAGTCCACTCGGACTGTGGCAGGTCATTTTGAACATCTTATATCTAAAGACACCGGCAACAAAGCAGGCTGAACACGACAGACAACAGGCCTTCTCGTCTCCTCCTTTACAGGCTTCTAAACACGCCATCTTTTCAATCAGCCAGAAGAGGTCGCAGTCACAGTGAAAGGGATTGTCATTGATCCAGGCGTCTTTCACCTGTGGCCATCCCAGTTCGTACTGAGAGAGAGACGTGATCTTGTTGTAACTTAGATCTACGTCTTTCAGCTCCGGCAGATGCTCAGTGACGTTACCAAGCTGCACGTACCCTAGTCGGTTTCTATTTAGATAAAGATGCTTCAAATCTGGCAGAGCACGCAAAGACGTCCAGGAAAAAGATTCCATGCCGTTCCAGCCGAGGTCCAGCCAGGTTAGTCCTGGCAGAAAAGGCAGCCAGGTTACGTTTCTGATGTTGTTGAACTTGGCGCAAAATTTGTCAGTGTTAGACGGTATGCCATCAGGAAGCGTGGTGAGGTTTAGCTTATTACAGTCAACCCATAGTGTCAAATAGGACGGCATCTGCCGCTTCGTTATCTGACATTCGGCTGACAGACAAGAACAACCCGTCAACAGAGATCCCAACATAACGAGCACCAACAGTCCACTTACTGTCATATCCAACGGTTTGGCCATGGCCAGCTCCGTGTCTGTTGGTCACATTGACAGTTTGGTACAGCAAGCGACCGACAACGCGCGACCCTGTCTGAAGCAGTGTCGTTCGCGATCAGGACGACCTGCCTTGTATTCTGATACATATTCACGTTTACGTAGTACAGCATTGGAATATGCACTATCGCCCTTTGGCGTAACATTAAAAGCTTAAAAAATAAATAAAATCTTACTTTTTAACTGTTTCCTAGGTTGTCTACACTGTCTAAGGCAAGGGAACAGTTAAAATGTGAGATTTTATGTGGGCTTATTATCGACTTCATGACATGAATAATGAGTTTCGTGATCTGGTTAAAGTTACAGCTTAGGCCACACCGATTTAATTTTATGGATGACATCCTCTGAAGACCCCCAAACTAGTGCGCGCGGGCGAAAAAAATAAAAATCCGGCCAAAAATAAAAATGCTACAAAACCACAGGAATACAAACCTGGTATTGTGAATTTGGCGCATTACATAGCGACGTATACGACAGGCCGACACATGCTGGATTTTTGCGGAATATATGAATCGACACTGCTGTACGTATGTACTGAGTTCTTGAGTCTTGGAGCTTCGGTAGCCTGCTGGCTGCCGTCAACCAGAGTTATCACCACCATGCACTACCTAGGCCTAAAGCTAGGCCAGAGCCTCGGAATACGTGATCTTTTTTTTTTTTTTTTTAGATCGGGCGAAAATCAATGCGCGCGCGGATGTCATCCATAAAATTAAATCGGTGTGGCCTTACGACATATTGGCTTCATTACCTGTGAGGTTGACCTAGTCTGTATCTTTTTGCATTTTTTGCGTCTACATCACATCTAATTCAATAGCAGGAACAAGATCCATAACAATAATATATGTGAAGTTTAGAAGTATAGAATATATGATTTCCGTCCACATCAATGAAATATTGAATTTGACGCCTCCGCTTCGAAACCAATCTTCTGACTGTGGACTCCTGAAGGCATGGAGTTTCCTGATACGTTTTCTGATTACAATACGTGAAGGTGTCCAGTGTTCTGTAATGAGTCTGCAGCTTAGAATATACAAAAGGCTCAGGCATGAGGCATGGACGGTCATGTCGTTGCCATGATCTCTTTGAAACAAATCACTTTCTTAGGGCAAAGGGCAACAACAAGGAAGATCTTGAGACTGGTGACGCCGCTGGTGGGCTGTGCCACTTTACACGAGGGGCGTTCTTCATAGTCAGTTACACAGGGTGACATGTGCCTAGCCCCCCTATCACAATGGAAGATCCTAATAAAAAGAGTAACAGTCATACTATTTTTTTCAACCTTTATTATTTAACCTTGAAAATGTACAGTACATGTGTGTAGCAGTACAACTCTTCGGCCTAAGCCGTTTTTCAAGATATTATATTACTATGATACGAACAAGGCATTGCCTCTGATCATTAGCTAGATACCATCCAATTGAATTTTTGCTCTGAATAGTCACTCTTTGTTGCAATTTGTGGCAATTTCATAGGCCTGCCTTCAAATATCAGAGTTATCAACCAAGGATTGAGGATGTTCAAAAACTCGTATTTTCGAAGAACAATATCGTAGAGTTGAACTCGTTGCCACCAAGCACAGTAGGGGCATCATCACTGGAAAGCTTTAAACAACTCCTGCAATTAAATGTGCAAAGATTGACTGGAACATCGGTGTAATATAGCTAGCTGCCGCCGCGCCGCGGGCCTGCGAAGCTGGTGTGTTACGCCGAAGGGTGGTTATACCGACTATACCAATATAGATACCATAAAAAGTTATCTCAGTGCCTGACTTTTTTTTAATATTCTAAACTGTAGACTGGTTACACGTGACAAGAGACACCGTCACGTATTGTAATCAGAGAGCTCATCTGTTAAACTTCGCGTTTGAAGACTTCTAATCAAATTGGTCTTAAGGCGAGGGCGGAGGGGGTGGCATTGTCTGTTCTTCTGCCTTCGTATGTTATTCTTGTGGATCTTGTCGCTGTCATGGACTTTATTGTGTGACGTAGCCGCAAAAAAGTGCAAAGGCACAACAAATAATGCAGACTGCCCCAACCTCACACGCACAGGTTATGGAGCCCATTCTTTGTAAACCACTTGCCTGCATTACTGATTATCTTGTAACAATGGTGATAGTACATACAGATATAAAGGACTTTTATATTTTCTGTGCCCATGCCTTACACCAAAGGAATGTGGTACATATGCCAAAAGGTGTGGGTGAAGTTGTAAAGGTATGAATACGAGGAATACCAAGTCATATGATCAGTAACAACACCGCCTCAGGCAGAAGACTGTCGCATGTAGCAGGTTGCGGTTAAGAAAGATCAATGTGTACAAACCTACAACTTTAACATGTACGTCTAAACAACAATTTGTTTAAACGAAGGCATTGAAAGCAACTGACCAACGGACACGGAGGATAAACCGTTAGAAATGAAAGTAAGTGGACCGTTCTTGCTTTTTACGTTGGTATCTCTGTGGACGGGTGTTTTTTGTCTGCCAGCCAGATGTCGGATAGAGAAACAGATTCTGAAGTACTATAGGGCACTGTGGGTTGATTGTAACCATAAAAGCCTTACCACGATTCCTGATGGCATACCGCCCCATGCTGAACGATTTTGTGCCAAGTTTAACAACATCAGAAACGTAACCTGTCTGCCTTCTCTGCCGCGACTAACCTGGCTGGACCTGGGTATGAACTCTATGAAGTCTTTTTCATGGACGTCTTTGCGTGCTCTGCCTGGTTTGAGGGTTCTTTTTCTAAATGGAAACCTACTACAGTACGTTAAGCTTGGTAACGTCATTGAGCATCTACCGAAGCTAAAACATGTAGATCTAAGTTACAACAAGATCACGTCTCTCTCTCAATACGAACTGGGGTGGCCACATGTGACCACTGCTGTGATCATGGGCAACCCCTTTTACTGTGACTGCGACCTCTTCTGGATGATTGAAAAGATGGCGTGTTTAGAAGCCTGTAAGGGGAGAGACAATGGAGCCTGTTGTCGGTCGTGTTCAGCCTGCTTTCTTGTCGTCAACCTGAAAAAAGCAGGCAGAGCTGTATGTTACAGACCGATACAACTGAGCCAGCTGCCTTGGTCAGAGGTGTCCAATAATCTAACAGGCTGTGAACCACACCTGCCGACCACAGAAGCTGCCATGGTCCCCACAGACCTAGATGAAGCTGAGAACCAAGCGCAGAGCAACGCCACTTCACCCATCAAACGTTTCGGAAACAACTCCAGGCAGGACCCAACACGGAACGAATCAAGCGCCGATGAACCCTACCAGAACAACATCTCGACAAAGTCAAATCCTACACAGGCCATGACGAACTCGTCTGCTCATTACACCATGAGCACGAGGAATAAGGAAGATGACGAACTTTTACCTCTCTACATCACCATCATTGCGATGGGAATCCTTCTGACTTTGACCTTTATCTTCTGGCGCGTTCGTGGTGTTAACCACGGAGACCCAGCTGTCAATCAAGCTGCACCACCAGTAGTGAACCCTGCCTACCACGACACCTCTGATGTTGAAGAAGATCTGCATTACGATGTCACTGAAGAAAACCAAACTTCGGCGCCAACTGTGACGTCGACACATCAGAGCACCTGTAAAGGTTTGAATCAAGAACATATAACTGTCACGGAGAGCGCTCAGCACCGCACGGGATCCACACACAGCAGGCAGTCACAGGCAACAACTGAACCATCTGGCCTTTATGAGTCATCAAATGCCAACACCGCTGGAGAAGGACTACATCATGACCCCATAGCAGTTCCACACAATAAGACCCACTGCATGGAAGCTATGTACAACCATCCCCAAGCACCTCTTGCATCCTCCAGCATGTATACATCGCAAAACGGCAACTCATCAAACATCTACAGCTCTGAAGACGGTTCGAATCGCGGAAACCCAGTGGCTCCTGGTGATGAACAAGCAGCAACTGCATCCTCCAGCCTGTACACGTCACCAGAACTTAACTCAGCAAACTTCAGAGAAGGCATGACCAATCGCGAAGACCAAGAGGTTCCTGATGCCGACGAGCAGTGCAGTGAATCTATATACGGCAGGAGTTCGCAAGCGGCAGTCACTTCTTCATCCCATCTGTACAACAGGTGTGTGACTGATTAAGGAGCAGGTACAGACCGCGGATTTACAATGTAGACATCACTGACACAGAGCCACTGTAGGCCACCTAGAACACTTGCAACAGGTTCACTTTACTGTCTCAATATGCATAATGTTTATCAATGTTGACTTAGTCCTTTACTGATGAATAGTTTGGGTAGGAGCTAACCTGTTCTCCCTCCCCTTCCAGTTGTCATGTGGAAAAGTTTAATAAACTAAACTAAACTAGACAGAAAAAGCAGCGCCTAGAGACAATATATAGACAGGGGACCTAGGCTCTACTGAACTAGATCATAGAACTCTTTCAGAGATTAGAATGGCCATGCTCCTCGGGTAGCTTATCTAGTAACGATGGTGGATGAAACATTATTCATATTTTTTTAATTATTTTGTTAGAAGCTAGACAGCCCCACAACTTTGGGAAACCTCTAGTCCTGGGCAAGTGAGAAAGGTGTATCTTGTTAATTTCTAATACCGATTTAGTGGTCAGTGTTTCTGTTCCTTAAACACTGAATTAGTAGAGCTCTATCGTGTTCTTGAATGTAAATATTATCTGACCAGAAATAAGTCACTTTCTTTAGGCAGGATTTAAGAAGTTTTGACATGACCTGAAAGGGGCATAGTTTGGTGTATGTATCACATCAAAAGATTTGGCAGGATTGGAACTCATTGTAATCTATTAATATAAATTGTTATCAATATGAATGTATCACATGAGTCATAAACACCACTTGGTACCTGGTAATGTAATGTCTACAGGAGGAAATGGAGTTATAAGCAAACATTAATTTTAAAACTGTCGTTTGGAAAACCTCTTATCCTATGTTTCTTCATAAAAAAGTAGCATAATATTTTATACGTCTCGTCAACTGTCCTATACTCTTGAAGAAAAACTATAAAGATGAGATCTGTTTACACAAAGTAAATTTTATTGCTATTTTGCATTCAAGAAATACATCAAAACTTATGTTGGCACACATATATATTGCCCTAAACCAATACAACATCTACAAAATTAAATCAATATTGTAATTCAACGACATGAATGAGTACTAATATTCAGGTAAAGAAGCCCGTACCTTTCGTGTTTTACTACTAAGCCGTGTACACTTTTTGATATTCCTTCAGTGCAAATGGGCATTGTTTTCAGTGACAAATCACTAGATAAAGTGGTAAAATACTGCAAGTATTATGTAAATCAAATACAAAGGGAACATTCTGACTGCTATTCATAAGAAAAAAAATCATAAGATGACAAATGCCTTACTTTGAATTTACAATTATAATGACATAATATCGCATGATCATGATAAATTACATTTGATGCTGGTACCATGAACACAGCCCAATCTATACATTTATCCATCCATAAATTTAAAGTAAACGTCTGTTACAGCATGTCAGAGTCGTATACATTATCTCATGCATTTGCTTTGCATTAATTATCATTTGAAAGATGACTGTTACATCTAAAGTAACAAAATGTAAGTTACAAAATATAACACTTGTTTTGCTTTGTACGTGCATTATCATTTGCAGGATGGTCATACCAGTATAAGCTACAGTAGTAGTTCAGGTGAAAAATTAAGTTCTTGGTTGTTAAAAGTTAAAGTCTATGCTGTAGATAACTCCGACGAAGGAGCGATGCCTTTTGTCTGTCCCGTCTTTGGCCATATCATTTTATTCTCTTAGTAGAAAAGGATACAGCTGTAGCATTTCTTCGTGTACAGACGGTGGCACAATACCACCAGAATAAGACAGCTCAAAGTCCCAGCCATGACGCTGAGTAGAATGTTTTGGGCTGTGACTTTTTTTGTTAAGTTCTCACCTGATCCCTCAGTAGGATTTGCAGCCATGGTAATGTTACATTCAGTTGGTCTGCACTTGGTATCGTTGTTAGCAGTTATGTGCAGGATAGTTGTTGGCATGGTCTGTGCCAGACCGACGAGTTGATTGGCTTTGATGGTCCAATTTGATGCCACCGACACGTCATGGAAAATCCAAAGACAGTTAGTTGTTGAAGGAGTGGTCTGCTCCCTGCACTCCTGCAGCTGGGCAGACGCCTTAGATAAAGGGACCCGCTTCAGTCGACTCGGACTTTGGCAGTGAAACCGTCCAATCCGTAGACTATAAACGAGAAAGCAGGCTGCACAGGACGAGCAACAGGTCTGGTCGCCTTCCCCGCAAGACTGTAGACATGTTAGCTTGTCAATCAGCCAGAGCAGATCGCAGTCACAGTGAAACGGGTTCCAACCGATCCTGGCTTCTTTCACCTGTGGCCACCCCAGCTCGTATTCAGAGAGAGACGTAAGCTTGTTGTTACTTAAATCAACGGTTTGCAGCTTCGGCAGATGCTCAATGACGCCGACAAACTGCACGTACCGTAGCCGGTTTTCTGTTAGATAAAGAAACCTAAGATTTGGCAGATTACGCAAAGACATCCAGGAAAACGATTCCATGGAGTTCATACCTAGGTCCAGCAACTGCAGTCGCGGTAGAGAAGGCAGGCAGGTTACGTTTCTGATGCTGTTGTACTGGGCAGAAAATCGTCCAGCATTAGACGGCATGTCATCGGGAATCGTGGTAAGGTTTAGATGACTACAGTAAACCCACAGTGTGTCAGAGTACTTCTCCTTCTGTACCCGACATTCGGCTGACAGACAAGAACAACCCGTCCACAGAGATCCCAACATAACGATAATCAGTCCACTTACTGCCATATCTGCCGGTTTGACCTCCGTGTCTGGTGGTCACATTGACTGTTCGTAGCAGAAGGCTGTACTGTGCGACAGTCTTCCTCTGTCTGACTGAACAGTGTGGTTCGCGATGAGGAAGTCACTAGACACCATCGTGTACTGTAATCATAGAACTCATCTGTAAAACTTTCAGGCTGCTGAGATTGGTCTTAAGGCGGGGGCGTTCAACACAATTTTACAAAAAGAGACATGGCGGGGGTTGAACAAATTGCATTGTCTGCCAGCTTATATTATTCTTGTGGAGCTTGTCGCTGCTATTGGATCCATTGTGTGATATATGTAGTCACAAAACGTGCAAAGACACACCAAAAGTCAATCCTTTCTTTTTGATATTGTTTAAGCAGCCTCAATGAACGTGGGCATAGCCGTAGCATTTCCTCTTATACAGACGATGGCACAATATCATCACAGTAAAGCAGCTCAAAGTCCCTGCAATAGCGCTGAGTAGAATGTTGGGGGAAGTAAAATCACCACCTGATCCCTCGGTAGGATTTGTAGCTGTGCCCTTGTTACTTTGGGTTGATTCGGGCTTAGTGTCATTGCGGGCAGTTTCGTGCAGTATGGTGGTCACCATGGTCTGTGTCTGACCGACCCGTGACTTCGTATTCTCGGTTGGATTTGACCCTAACTGCAGAGACGTCGGTTTCCACACATCTGTGGTCAACTGCTGTGGCCAACAACCCGTCAGATGGCTGGAAACGTCTGATAAGGACAGCTTTTCTAGTCCACTGGGACTGTGGCAGGTCAGTCTGAACGCCTTATATTTCAAGACATCGGCAACAAAGCAGGCTGAACACGACCGACAGCAGGCCTTCTCGTCTCCTCCTTTACAGGCTTCTAAACACGACATATTTTCAATCAGCCAGAAGAGGTCGCAGTCACAGTGAAAGGGGTTCCCCATGATCCTGGCAGTGGTCACCTGTGGCCACCCCAGTTCGTACTGGGAGACAGACGTGATCTTGTTGAACTTTATATTTACAGTTTTCAGTTTCGGTAGATGCTCTATAACACTGCCCAGCTGCACGTAGCGTAGCCGGTTTTCATTTAGTGAAAGAATCCTCAGAACTGGCAGAGCACGCAAAGACATCCAGGAAAACGATTCTATGGCGTTCCAGCCAAGGTCCAGCCACTCCAGTCGCGGCAGAGAAGGTATATAGGATACATTTTTTATGCTGTTGAACATGGCAAAAAATTGTTCAGCATTGGGTGGTATGTCATCAGGAATTGTGGTAAGGTGTAGATTGTTACAGTCAACCCACAGTGTCCCAGAGTAATTCTGCTTCTTTGTCAGACATTCAGCCGGCAGACAAGAACAACCCGCCCACAGAGATCCCAACGTAACGAGCATCAACAGTCCTCTTGGTTTCATGATCATATCTGACGGTTTGTCCTCCGTGTCTGTTGGTACGTTACAATGACTGTTTGGAAAAGCTAGCTGCACTATGCGGCAGTCTCCCTCTGTCTGAGTAGTGTCGTTTGCTATGCAGACGTCACTAGACACTATCACGTATTGCAATCATAGAACTCATCTGTAAAACATGTTTTCACTCTTCTGCTGAGATTGGTCTTATGGCTGGAGCGGCAAGGACAATATTGCAAAGACAGGGCTGGGGTTTCAGAAATTGTTTTTTCTGCCAACGTATATCAATCGTTGAAAGGTCATCCATCTTTCAATGCAGTTTAAAACATATTTAAGATCAAAATACCTTACTTTGAATTTACGGTACATATTCAACGCAACATAATATATACATCTGGTGCCTGTATCATGATCACACACGCTGATGTTAGTGCTTGGTCCTGAACATAATACCACACAACATTTCATCTAAAGCAAACCTCTGTTACAGCATTGTTAGCATTGTATTCTTGTATTCTGTATACATTTGCTTTGTATTATCATTTGCAATATGGTCACACCAGTACAAACAGCAATGGTTATTCTAGGCGAATTTATAATTAAAAGTTCTTGGGTGGTATATATACAAGCATGACATGAAGGCTGTTGTCAGTGCAATCTATTTGTAGCTGTAGGGCTTCCATTGTTTGGTACAAACAAAAGGCAGTCTGGAGTTCGTGAGTTACTGGTAACATAAAGGGTCTGTACCTGCCCCTTAATCAGTCACACACCTGTTGTACAGGATGGATGAAGTGGCGGCTGGTACTTGCGAACATCTGCCGTATATAGGTTCACTGCACTGCTCATCAGTATCAGCAACCTCTGGGTCTCCGAGACTGGTCATGCCTTCTGCAGCACTGCTGGTGAGGTTTGCTGAGTTGAGTTCTGGTGACGTGTACAGGCTGGAAGATGCAGTTGCCGCTTGACCATCATCAGAAGCCTCTGGGTATCCGTCTGCAGAGCTGTAGATGTTTTCTGAGTTGTCGTTTGGCGAGGTACTGGTATACGTGCCGGAGGATGCGACTAGTTCCTTGGGATGCTTGTACATAGTGTCCATGCAGTGGTTTTCACTGTGTGGAATCGCTAGGTTTCCGTTAAGTATTATATCTTCTCCGGTAGTGTTGACATCCGATAACTCATAAAGGCCAGATGGTTCAGTTGTTACCTGTGACTGCCTGTTGTGTGTGGATTCCGTGCATTGCTGAGCATTTTCCGGGACGGTTACAGTCAGACGTTCTTCATCCGAACCTTCATCAGGGGCGCTCTGATGTGTCGACGTTAGGGTCGGTGTCGAAGGTTGGTCTTCGTCCAGGTGGTAGTAATGTAGATGGTAATGGTGTAGATCTCCTTCCTCAGTGGTATTGTCGTAGGCAAAGTTCGCTATTGGTGGTACGATTTGATTGGCAGCTGGGTATCCATGATTGACAGCTCCTGCAGTGGTACCGTGGTAGGCAGAGTTCGCTATTGATGGTACGATTTGACTGACAGCTAGGCATCCATGATTGGCAGCTCCTGCAAAGAGACAAGTGAGCTGAATTCACCATCATAGAAAACACAGGAGAACCAGAAACGTAATATTTGCAAAACAATTGCAAAATGTTTACTTTTACATAGTTTACCGTAATAAACTAGTGCTCGGTTTACTCATACACGTTCACATTCATAGTGACTAGCCCCTCTAACTCTGCCAGGCCAATTGCTACATAATGTAACCCAACACCACAGGGTATCTACTACAGCACCAGTTACCATGGTAACATGCCCACGTCATTAAACTTAGGAGGAGATAGAAGAAGAAGAAGAAGCAAGTGAACGAAAAGTTCCTACTAAAAGAACAAACAAACAAACCCGTGCTGGCTTCTTCTTGGCGGTTGCGGAAAAGTCTCCACTTCATCTTAACTCCGACGAGACAGAGGATGACGGTCAGGATCAGAACGTTTCCGATCACAATGATGGTGATGTAGAGAACTGGTAGCTCGCCATCTTCTCTTTTCTTCCTGCCCAAGGTGTAATCAGCAAACGACTCCGTGATGGCCTGTTTAGGATTTGACTTTGTCGAGATGCCCTTCTGGTAAGATTCATCTTCTCTTGACTCGTTCCGTGTCGGGATTCTCCCTGTATTGTTCTGACGTGGGCTCTCTGTCTCATCTAGACCTGTGGGGACCATGACAGATTCTGTGGTAGGCTGGTGTGGCCCACAACCCGTCAGATGATTGAAAACGTCTGATAAAGGCAAATTTTTCAGTCCACTCGGACTGTCGCAAGTCATTCCGAACGCCTTATATGTCGAGGTGCTGATAAGAAAGCAGGCTGAACACGACTGACAGCAGGCCTCCTTGTCTCCTTCTTTACAGGCTTCTAAACACGCCATCTTTTCAATCAGCCAGAAGAGGTCGCAGTCACAGTGAAAGGGGTTCAAATTGATCCTGGCATTAGTCACCTGTGGCAACCCCAGATCGTGTTGAGACAGAGACGTGATCTTGTTGTCACTTAGATGTACAAGTTTCAGCTTCGGCAGATGCTCAATGACGTTACCAAGCTGCACATACCGTAGTAGGTTTGCATTTAGGTAAAGAGACCTCAAATCTGGCAGAGCACGCAAAGACATCCAATAAAACGATTCAATGGAGTTCATTTTTAGGTCCAGCGATTCAAGTCGCGGCAGAGAAGGAATATAGGATACATTTTTGATGCAGTTAAGCGAGGCATCAAAGCTTGTTGTGTTGGGCGGTATGTCATAAGGAATAGTAGTAAGGTTTAGACGGATACATTCAACCGACAGCATCTCAGCGTACTCCCACTTGTCTACCTGGCATAGGGCTGGCAGGCTGGAACAACCTGTCCACAGAGATCCCAACGTAACGATAATCAACAGTCCACTTACTGCCATATCTGCCGGTTTGTCCTCCGTGTCTGTTGGTCACAATGACAGTTTGGAGCAGCGAGCTGCACTGTGCGACAGTCTTCCTCTGTCTGACTGAGCAGTGTGGCTCGTCATCGTGACGTCACAAGATACCATCACGTACTTTAAACATAAAACTCATCTTGTACAACTTTATGTTCGTAACTTCTGCTGATACCATCACGTCCTGTAATCAAAGAACTCATCTGGACAACGTTATGCTAGAATTTGTTTTACTGAGATTGGTCTTCAGCCAGGGGCATCAAAACCAATTTCTTCAAAGACAGCTATGGTGGGGGGGGGGCAAATCGCAGTCTGTTGTTCAACGAATGTATATTATTGTTGTGGAGCTTGTCACTTTTATGATGAAATTTATTGTTTGATGTGGCCACAAAACGTGCAAAGACACACCAAAAAATGCAGACGCATCCGACATCACAAGTTATGAAGCCCATCATTTGTAAACCCTTATTATTACCTGCAATACTAATTAATTTTGTAGTTCATAGGGTAAAAATACGCCAACGGAACAAAAACTTTTCTATTCCTGTGTCTTGCACCAATGGACTGGGATACACATGACAAAGTTGTACGTGGACTTGGATATAGATGGCCTTCAAAAATGTAGTATGTATCTCTTTATATTCCATCTGGTCCCTACTTCTTCTCTCATTATTTCATTGAAAAGCAGCTAGTGAGACGATCTAACTATTTCACCAATAAACAAAGTCACAATCAAACATCTACAAAATTTATTCAATATTGTAAATCAACAAAGTCAACACCAGTAGCAATATTCTGATAAACAATGTAACCTTTCGTGTTTTAAATAGAAGGTTTTATACACTTCTTCATATTCCTTTCAACATTGGACGTTGTTGCAGTGCTAAATTATCAGATAAAGTGATAAAATACTTCTGTGTGAAGCATCCTGACATCACCGCTATTCATATAAAAAGCCACACTTCATTCAAGTACGTTCAAAAAGACATATCACAAGACAAAGAACACCTTACTTTGAATGTACAATCATAACCATAGTTTAAAGCAACATAGATAATATATACATCTGATGTATGCTGGTATCATGTGCATAACAATGCTGATGTTAGTGCTTGCTTAATGCGTAACAGTACATCTAAGAAACCTCTGTTACAGCATTTTTACCATTGACTGACTGTCAATGCCATTGTATATCTGATACATTCACTTTACATTGCCATTTACAAGATGCTCATACCAGTACAAACCACAGTTCTTAAGTTTGGGTGGATTTATATTAAGTTCTTATAGTTCTTATAGTTGTTAAATGTTAAACATTTAGGTCTATATATGTTGTAGAAAACTCTGACAGAGCTGGTAGTGCCTCTAGTCAGTCCTGTCCTCTGCTATATCGTTTCAAGCAGCCTTATGCAATTCGAATAGAACGCGTTTCCTCTTGTACAGGCGGTGGCACAATATCATCAGAGTAAGGCAACTCACTGTCCCTGCCATGGCACTGAGCAGAATGTTGGGGGAAGTGATGTCTTTTGAAGAATCACCACTTGATCCATCGGTAGGATTTGTAGCCGTGTCCTTGTTACTTTGGGTTGGTGTGGGTCTAGTATCATTGCGGGCAGTTCCGTGCAGTATGGTGGTCACCATGGTCTGTGTCTGGCCGACGCGTGGCTTCGCATTCGTGGTCGGATTTAACCCTAACTGTGGGGACGTTGGTTTCCACACGAAAATCCCCTGACGGGTTGTTGAAGGGGCAGCCTGCTCTCTACACTCCTGCAGACGGGCAGACGCGTTTGATAAAAGGAGATACTTCAGTTCACTCGGACTGCGGCAGAAAAGTTTGTTACCATATTTCAGGTTGCCTGTAAGAAAGCAGGCTGAACACGACAGACAGCAGGCCCTCTCGTCTCCTCCTTTACAGGCTTCTAAACACGCCATCTTTTCAATCAGCCAGAAGAGGTCGCAGTCACAGTGAAAGGGGTTTTCCAGGATGTTTGCGCAATCTAGCTGTGGCCACCCCAGGTCGTACTGGGAGAGAGACGTAAGCTTGTTGTAACTTAGACTTACATCTTTCAGCTTCGGCAAATGTTCTATGACCCTGCCCAGCTGCACGTACCGTAGTCGGTTTTCTCTTAGATAAAGAGACCTCAGCTCTGGCAGATTACGCAAAGACATCCAGGAAAAACGATTCTATGGAGTTCATACCTAGGTCAAGATACCGCAGTCGCGGTGAGAAGGCAGGTCAGGTTACGTTTCCGATGTTAGTTGGAAAGGGCGACAAAATCGTTACTGTAGTTCAAAGGTATGCCATCAGGAATCGTAGTAAGGTTTAGATGATCACAGTCAACCCACAGTGTCCCAAAGTAGCTCTGCTTCTGTACCCGACATTCGGCTGGCAGACAAGAACAACCCGTCCACAGATATCCCAACATAAGGAGCATCAGCAGTCCACTCACTGCCATATCTGCCGGTTTGTCCTCCGTGTCTGTTGGTCACACTGACAGTTTGGAGCAGCGAGCTGCACTGTGCGACAGTCTTCCTCTGTCTGACTGAGCAGTGTCGTTCGCACACTAAATACCATCACGAACTGTATCCATAGAACTCATTTTAGGTTTTAGGCTTCTGCTGAGATTGGTCTTAGGGCGGGGGCGTCAAAGTCAATTTCGCAAAGACAGCTAGGGCTGGGATGAAAGACATTGCTTTGTCTGCCACTAGACACCATCACGTGCTATAATCATAAATTTCATCTGTAAAACTTCGTGATTTCAGGCTTCTGCTGTTATTGGTCTTCAGCCAGGGGCGTCATAATCAATTTCTTCAAAGAGAGCTTTGTCGGGACTGGGATGAAAGAAATAGCTTTGTCTGCCACTAGACACCATCACGTGCTATAATCATAAATTTCATCCGTAAAACTTCGTGATTTCAGGCTTCTGTTGTGATTGGTCTTCAGCCAGGGGCATCAAATTCAATTTCGTTCAAGAGAGCTATGTCGGGGGGGGGGACAAATCGAATGGTCTGTTCTTCTGCCAACGTATATGATTCTTTTTGAGCTGGTGACTGTTATTAAATTTTTTGCCATGCAGCCTCAAAAATTGCAAAGACACACCAAAAGATGCAGACTAGTCCGACATCACAGATTATGAAGCCTATTCCCTTGTAAATCTTTAGTATTGCCTGCAATAAATTATACTAATTAATCTTGTGGTGTATACATGAATACCATTGTATTCCGTATACATATTAATTTTGCTTTACATTTGCCAGATGGTCACACCTGTACAAACCACAGGTGTTAAGTTTGGGTGGATTTATATAGAATTCTAGTTTCTTACAGATTTGGGTCTAAGCTGTGGATATCCCTGACTGAGGGGCGGTGTTTGGGATATAGCAATAGCATTTCCTCTTGTACAGACGATGGCACAATATCATAAGAGTGACGCAGCTCAGAGTCCCTGCCATACCGCTGAGTAGAATGTTGGTGGAAGTAAAATTACTACTTGTTCCCTCGGTAGGATATGTAGCGGCGTCCTCACTAGTTTCGGTTGGTTTGGGTCTAGTGGTATTGCGGACAGTTCCTTGCAAGGTGGTGGGCGCCATGGCCTGTGCCTGGCCGACGCGGTTCTCTGCTTTTACGGTTCGATTTGATGCTACCTGCGAGGAAGTCGTCTCCGACACGTATTGGGGAATCCCCGGACTGGTTGTTGAAGAAACTGCCTGCTTCCTGCACTCCTGCATCTTCGCAGACACGTCAGTCAAAGAGACGTGCTTCAATCTACTCGGAGTTTCGCAGTGAAGGTATCCAATCTTTAGACTCAAAGCGAGAAAGCAGGCTGCACAGGACGAGCAACAGGTCTGGTCGCCTTCCCCGCAGGCCTTCAGACAGGTTAGCTTGTCAATTAGCCAGAGCAGATCGCAGTCACAGTGAAAAGGGTTTCCAACAATCACTGCAGTACTGACCTGTGGCCACCCCAGTTCGAACTCGGAGAAAGACCTCAGTCTATTATGACCAAGCGTGACATACTGCAGCTTCGGCAGATGCTCAATGACGCAGTCTAACTTCACGTACCGAAGTCTGTTGCCTGACAAATGAAGAAATTGCAAAGCCGGAAAATTCCGGAGACCCTCCCAGGATAGAAAAGTGACGGCGTTTTCCGTCATGTACAGTTTGCGCAGCTGTGGCAGCGACGGTAGGGTAGTCACGCTCCTGATGGTGTTGTAGGACACTTCCAGATGTTCGGTGTCGGACGGGATTCCGTCGGGAAACGTCGTCAGACCGATGCGGTTACAAAGTACTGTCTTTCCAATAAAGCTCGGATGCTCAACCTTACACTTACTTGGTAAACCGGCGCATCCCAGAGTTCCGAAAGCAAGAGTCAAGAAAACCCCACTCACACTCATGCTGAAGTGTCAGGTTTTCCCAGTCTCCATGGTCCGCTGGTAGTCAATACACTAACTTCGACATAATTTCAATATAGCTATTGATAACTTGGTTTTTAGTGGTTGAATTGTAGTAGGACAAAACAAGTCGAGACTCTTTTGTTAGGCGGTGCTAGGGTACATTGATCAGTCCAACCAAAATACACCAGACAATATTCGTGGAAATTGTTATGCATAATTCATATATCTTCTCTGGTGCCGGTCGTCTAAAAATTGTTTTCACACCGGCCTCAGACCAATCTGGACAAAATTTAAAAGAAATCATATGTCCGAATCACTCTTCTGAATAACAGTACGTGAAACTAAGAAAAGCATCAACGTGTGTCCAGATTACTTTTCTGATTACAATACGTGACCAGCATGGAAAATAGAAACGCCTGTAGACAGCAGACGTCCAGTTTTTCGGCCTCATTTGCATTGTCATAGAAACGAAGTTCTTTGCAGTCTTGGCGGCTTAAGCAACATTCTTAGATTCTTCAGCAACATTCTATTAAAAACAAGTGTAACATTTCTGCAAGGGTTCTGATATTCCTACTGTTGCTGTGATGCTATGCTTGCTTTTGGTCGGTATCCGTTAAAGCCAGTTTGTGCTTGTTCCTCTGTATTTCAGTACGAGTTCGGTGGGTGCTACTGTAGCACTGTTCTAATAATGTCCAGTGATGTTTCGTCCATTGTTACCATGGCGGTGCAATGCCCTCAGACTTTCTGTTCAGAGAGTTCTAGACTGGCATCGTACAAGTACCAATGATAGCACGAAAGTTCATTTGAGTTGGTTAAATGTACCATCATGTACCAATAATGTCTATGTCGTGCTACATGGCCTTCTCCCCTGTTCTTTACTCAGGTTGTGCATGAGGTACAGGAATGTTATATACGCGGGATGTTGCTTGCTGAGGCTTGTGTGTATGTACACGACTATTGTACATGTGGGAAGTTGCTTGCTGAGGCTTGTGTGTATAAGCGCTGTTGGTCACTGAGTTTCCATCAGGCGGCGGTGTGTAGAGGTTACATGATGTAGTTGTTGCGTACGGCCCACCGTCCTCAGATCCCGTGCTGTGTTCATCAACACTCGGGGCAGTTAGATGCTCGTGATTGCTCCCTCCTGTAGGCTGAGTGCCGCTGTTGGGTACTAGTATTGGTGGGAGATCTGTTGCAAAGGGATGGAGGGGCCCATGCTGACTTCCTGACGGCGATTGCGGCCCATTTTGCCCCTCATCCGTACTAGCCGAACGAAGCAGCTGATGAACATCAAGGTCAGCGCGGTTTCAACCACGAAGATGGAGATGTAAACGATCTGGCTGAACTCTCGGCCATTCGAGCCTGTGGAACTAGGAGAGGACTTTGAGAATCCGGTCTGTGTGGGGTGTGTTGGTGCGGTTGTCAAGGTGATGAACTGGTTGTCGGGTGTCTTTGTAGTGTTGACTGCTGCCCGTGGTAGGGTTGGTGTGGTGTTGAGGTACGAACCATTGGTGAAGAGATCGACAGAGTTATTCCCAGTGGCTTGCAGTTTGTCGGTATCCACCATGACTGACACGGTAGAAGTATTAGTTGCTCTTGCGGTATACGTAGGTTGTAATAGATTCAGTTCATCTTTGGTGGTAGAAGAGCCCAACCCAATGCTTTTCAGTGTACGTTGAGCATGTGCTGTAGTTGTCGTATCAACTTCTGTAGTTGTAGCTCTTGCCATAGACCTTTGGCGTTCACATTCCGCCAGGTGGGTAGACCCGTTTGCTGAAGGGACCTGGCTTGCCTCGTCTGGGCGCTTGCAGTAGAAATCTTCACTCTTTCTACCCGAGACGAAGAAGCAGACCGAGCATGACGAGCAGCGGGCGTCGGCTCCTCTCTCCGCGCACGTTCTGTAGTTCAGGCCGTAGTAGGTGCAGTCACACGGAGCGGGGTTTTCCAAGATTATTGTCGAGGTGATTTGCGGCCAGCCTAGCTCATAGAGAGAACAGGACACGAGTTTGTTTTCAGCAAGATACACATGCCTCAGCTTGGGGAGGTACTGAATGACTGCGTCAAGCCTCACATACTGGAGCCGGTTGCGACACATGTAGAGAGTCCCCAGAGCAGGAAGGTTGCACAGAGACTCCCAGACCACAGTCTCAATGGAATTGTCGCTGAGATCCAGGGAATACAGCTGAGGGAGGTGCGGCAGGGTATTCACGGTTGTGATGGCGTTGTACACAAGGTTCACCCGGTCGGCGTTTGGCGGTATGTCGTGAGGGACCGAGGGGAGGCCCTGGTACTTACAATCCACAGTTGTGCTGGGAAAAGGCAGTATCAGCTTCTTTATCTTACAGCCAGCCGGGAGGCAGTGAGTACGGCATGGCCAAAGAGATCCAAAAGCAAGGAGAAGAAATAATGTACCCACTTTCATGTTCACGTCGAGGTCACAGTCATTCGCGTAGGTTATCGTCGTTCAATTTTCAAACAGACTGTGAGAGAACTAACCGCTCATAAGTCTTTTTGGAAACAAAACAACGGAACTTTGTACAACACATGCACGACAAACGGAAGAAAGCCTTCAGCGATTGTATAACAGTCAATCAGACAAATGTGACCAGAGCCTTTGCCAGAACAAGTACACAGGTTGCCACTGCCTTTAAGATCTTGAGACCGACTGTCCGAAGATTAAGAATGAGATCATCCACGGTGCTGGTACACGCGTGGCTGTATGTCCTGTATATGGTATGGAGATAATGATGTATCTCGTGATGATTATGGAATAGATCATATTTTTCCTGGAAAGTCTTCAGGGATAGAATACATAACATTTGTGCGCACGTTGTGCCCTACGTGATGCATGGTGTACAAGCTGCAACCAATAAAGTGGTGGACCCACCGACTGCTAAGTATTTTACTCACTCACTCACTCTATCACTCGCTCGCTCACTCACCCTACTCACGCATTCACTCTCTCACTCATTCTATCTCTCACTCACTCACTCACGCACCCACCCATCCACTCACTCTCTCATCACTCACTCACTCGCTCCTCACTCACTCATTCACTCGCTCGCTCGCTCTCACTCACTCACTCACTCACTCACTCACTCACTCACTCTCTCACTCACTCACTCTATCACTCTATCACTCTCATCACTCAATCACTCAATCACACACACACACACACTCGCGCACTTAAACATTCACTCACTCACTCACTCTATCACTCTCTCACTCACAGTTTGCCTGTTCACCAAAATAAAGCATCTAACACCAGCTCAGAAAAGATCAAGAAATAATCATGCCTTCGAGCTTGTGCAGGATAGTTTGTACTTCATGTGAAGCCGGATGAAGCAGGCTATGGACGTTAAAGTCACTGCGATTTCAGCTATAACAATGGAGATGTGGACAAATGAAATTTCGTGATTCCCTTCGCCCATGGAACTAGAAATGGCGGTATGGATTGATAGAGCTGTAGAGCTGGCATTGGTTTTTGATGTTTCTACATGTATGTCCCAAGGTTGGATATGTGTACTTCCCGAAGCAAAAGTGTACAAGATGTCATTCTCAGTACAATGCAGTTGGTTTGTAGGCTTTTGGATAACAGACATGGCTGAAGCTGTGATTGTAGTGGTAAGTTTTGGGGTGGGTTCACAATTAGCCATCCGGTTAGACACTTCTGACAAAGTGAGCTGGCGAAACTGGCTGGGAAATTCGCAGGCAAGGACTCCGACATTTTGGTAGCTAGCAATAAAGCAGGCTGAACACGACAGGCAACAGGCCTTCTCGTCTCCTCCTTTACAGGCTTCTAAACACGACATCTTTTCAATCAGCCAGAAGAGGTCGCAGTCACAGTGAAAGGGATTGTCGTTGATCCAGGCGTCTTTCACCTGTGGCCACCCCAGGTCGTACTGAGAGAGACGTGATCTTGTTGTCACTTAGATCTACAACTTTAAGCTTAGGCAGATGCTCAATGACGCTGTCCAGCTTGACCTGTTGGAGAAGGTTTCCTCTAAGAAAGAGATTTACCAGAGCAGGAAAACCTCGCAGACAGCCCCAGCACAAAGACTCTATGTTGTTCATCGTGAGGTAAAGTGTAGATAGTTGCGGGAGTGGGGGCATGTGTGTGATGTTGCGGAGATCATTGAACGAGGCGCTCAGCCGTGCAGTGTTGAGCGGTATGTTGTTTGGTAGCGCTGTGAGGCCCAGGCCAAAACAGTCTACTACTGTTCCTGTGTACGACATTTTCAGTGCTGTACATTTTGAAGCTGCCTGTTCGATGTGACGCGGCGTTGTGTGGTTCAGGCAGATGCACGTAGGCCACGGAGACCCCAAAACAACGAGGAAAAACAACCCACTTACTTTCATAGTGTACAGCAAAACTGAGTTGCCACACTGAGAAAGTGCCAGGAAGTTTCTGCAATCCGTGTTGTAGTGCAGTTTTCCCGTCACATCATACAACAGATTTAAAAACATGTGAAGACACTATAAATACCCAAAATCCTGCTCCTTACTGTCTCTGCTCTCCTTACGAAACAATGCAAAGCCCTTGACATGCCAACTTCTAGACCAATCTAGAACCACCTGTACGGAATGCCGGATGAACTGGAATGCCGGCAGAATAAGAATTCTAATTGTATATTTCCTAGATATTCGAAGTGTATTCTAGACATCTTCACTGCATTCCAAATGTTTGTGCCCATTCTGAAGGTTCAACGGTATGCACAATAGCATGTGAAATATTCTTATTGCTTTTGATGGAGAACCAAAATGAGCCCGAATATTTGGTATGCAGTCGTGTCAAAGCCTATGGGCTGAACAAGCTTTTCGGTCGTGATGTAGTCTCAAACCAGCTAAATTATACTGGATATAGAGGTAGAATAATTTGCTTTACTGTGGGAGTTTGCGTTCGCTAGGAAAATGTTACCGCCCTGGATTATTCTACTGTCCATGGGAAGTTTTCACATTGGTTCTCGGATTACAAAACGAGAGGCCTAAAATTTATTCATATATTCTTTTAGGGCAAGGCTTCCTCTACACATGTACGTGTCCACGTGGACTATTGGCACCATCCCTTATATGCGCAATTGGAGTTTTCACTGCAGGTTAAAGCAAAAAGTTCACATCGCTTTGTATATTTCACTTTAAAGCCTTGGTAACAACCCGTCGTACGTGCTTCCGCGTGCTGTCTACGTACAAAAACGTGGGCAAACGTAGGGCATCCGTGCGTGGTGAGTACCACCTCCGTACGGAATCCTACGGATTTGGGAGCACGCAGACACGCCATAGAACTTTAAGTTCATGCAAGACTTTTCATACTTGCGGTCTGCGGATTCACCACCCGTACGTGCGACGTGCGTGCCCTGTATAGCCTATATACGCACGTTTTCAGAAAAACGTACATGTAGCAGACGTGGCCTCCCAAAAAAACGTACGGACAAAAAGCACGTACGGCGGGTTGTGACCAGGGCTTAACTGTACCAGCTTATTCTACTGTCTTTTGACATCACGCCTACTTACGACACTACTATGTAAAATGATGTCTCTATACTGAGGATGCCCCTACTGTTTTGGTTGCAACGAGTTCCACTCCCTGATAGTTCTTGGAAAAACGATTTTTGGAACAGCTCAATCCTGGGTTGATAACTCTGGTACTTGAAAGCATGACAATTTCTTCTTTTCTAAGCTGGTATCAGGTACTTCCATGTAGTAGCTACAAAATGTAGTGCCTGCCTTGTCCCATTTACCTGCATAAAAGGACAACTTTTTTCCTTCACGAAGTAAAGGTATTTATAGAACGACTGCATAACTTATTGCATGTAATAATGCATGAAATTACTGCACCATGAAACCAGACAATACAAAATCCTTGAGCTGGCCTCGGCAAGATTGGTTTTGTGTTCACTTTAATCAGTTTTGTTGAAAACCATTTCATCAAAATATCTCAAAATACACAAAATAGTTTCTTTATACACTGTACATGTGTAATACACAAAATATTGCCATTAGTCCATGTTGAGTACCCGGTATTTAAAAAAGTGTACTTTTCACACACAGTCTGTGTATTCATGATTGTATCTAAGGCCACACCAAGTAAATTTTATGGATGACGTCCTTTGGAGACCCTAAATCTAATGCGAGAGGGCGAAAAAAAAAACAAGAAGGGCCCGAAAAAACAAGATGCCTAGATTAGGAATATACTAAGAGACGACAAATGTTAGGACACAAATTGAATGAGGTGACACAGTGTAACAAGCAAGAAGTCTTATTCATCATCAAAACAGCAATAAATCAGGTGGAACAGCAGTTATCGTCCTGTCCTGTTTCTTTCATCACATTTTTGCAGGCCTGCAGAAACAAAGCATGTGCTCTTTACCAATTTCGCGTTACGGGGTTCACGTCAATCAAACGATTTGCGGCACATGTCGTGACTCTTTGGTCATAGTTACAGGAAGCGGAATTTCTTTCTTTCTTTTCTAGGAACAGGCCAAAATCAATGCGCGCGCGGACGTCATCCATAAAATTTACTTGGTGTGGCCTAATCCAAGAAACTTCTACTGAGAAGTCATTTTGCACTAGTCTCAGGACTACCTTCTATCTGCTTGCTCAATGGAATTTGTCACATTTCATGCTGTAGATATACTCAATTTCATTCTAGAAGGTAATAACCCTTACTGCATACAAATAAGTAAAATTTAATATATTAAAGATGTTTAGACCTTAGAATAAGTTAGTATGTCGTTGACTCATCTTTAGTCCTGTACGGAGGTCAATTCTTTAGTACCCACGTGTCTGTCTGTAGGTTATAGACCTTATGAAAGTCGCTGTACTTTTGTTGTGTCAGTAAAGTTCTCTATTTATTGGTTTGGCTGTTCAGCATACACAGCCAAGGCAGGTTCATTGTGTAGTCCCTTTGTTAAAGCTCTCCTACCCAAAACTGTACTGATCTCTTGATGTTTCTCCTACTAGTAGGCACATAACCAGTAGAGAAGTGTGTGAACACTTCATGTGTGAAGTAAAGGTACTAAAGCATGTATCCCACAATGGTTACTTCTGTAGTTCCTTGTAAAAGCTTTTCTATCTACATGTACTATCTCCAGCATTTGCTATGTATGTTACGGTTGATTCCCCTGCGTAATTCTGACAAAGTCCTGAAAACTGATCCCTGTGTACGGTCTTGGATGCTTTGTATCCAGTGTAGTGAAGCCTTTTCCCCCTCCTAAAGTCTTCTCCTTTTCCTCAGTAATGTTTAGGTTGTGTAAATCAGCTGAAGTCCTTTACGGCTGGGTTCTCTGTGTAATTCTAACAAAGTCCTGAAAACTGATCCCTGTGTACAGTCTGGGTTGCTTCTCTAAAGTCCGTATCCAGTGTAGCAAAGGATGTTTCTCCTAGACCAGTAGGGAAGACCCTGGAAAGTACTGTAAAGGGATCTCACAACAATTCCTTGTGTAATTTCTTTGTTAAAGCTATTCAATCCAAAACTTTGAGAACAAGTATGCTGTATGCCAATTGTTAAGGTTGGGTTCTCTGTGTAATTCTAACAAAGTCCTGAAAACTGATCCCTGTATACAGTCTGGGATGTTTCTCTAATGCTCATATCCAGTGCAGCAGTGTTTTCTCATGCTTCTGTCCAGGTTGTTACACATCAGCCTAAGTCCTTTAATTTATGGTTGGGTTCTCTGTGTAATTCTAACAAAGTCCTGAAAACTGATCCCTGTGTACAGTCTCGCATGTTTCTCTAAAGTCCGTATCCAGTAGAGAAGGAATCTCACAACAGTTCCTTGTGCAGTTCCTTTGCTAAAGCACTATGCTTGAGTTCCTTGTGTAATTCTAACAAAGTCCTGAAAACTTATCCCTGTATACAGTCTTGGATGTTTCTCTAAAGTCCGTATCCAGTGTAGTGAAGCCTTCTCCCCCTCCTCAGTAATGTTAAGGTTCTCATCCATTATGGTTGATTTCCCTGTGTAATTCTAACAAAGTCCTGAAAACTGATCCCTGTATACAGTCTTGGATGTTTCTCTAAAGTCCGTATCCAGTGTAGTGAAGCCTTCTCCCCCTCCTCAGTAATGTTAAGGTTCTCATCCATTATGGTTGATTTCCCTGTGTAATTCTAACAAAGTCCTGAAAACTGATCCCTGTGTACAGTCTCGGATGTTTCTCTAAGGTCCGTATCCAGTGTAGTGAAGCCTTCTCCCCCTCCTCAGTAATATTTAAGTTCTCGTACATGAGCTAAATCCTTTATGGTTGGGTTCTCTGTGTAATTCTAACAAAGTCCTGAAAACTGATGCCAGTGTACAGTCTCGGATGTTTCTCTAAAGTACCAATCCAGTAGAGAAGAAATCTCACAACAGTTCTTTGTGCAGTTCCTTTGCTAAAGCACTAAGGTTGAGTTCTCTGAGTGATTCTGAGAAAGTCCTGAAAACTGATCCCAGTATACGGTCTCGGATGTTTCTCTAAAGTCCGTATCCAGTGCAGTGAAGCCTTCTCCTCCTCCTGAGTAATATTTAAGTTCTCGTACATGAGCTAAATCCTTTATGGTTGGGTTCCCTGTGTAATTCTAACAAAGTCCTGAAAACTGATCCCTGTGTACAGTCTCGGATGTTTCTCTAAAGTCCGTATCCAGTGCAGTGAAGCCTTCTCCTCCTCCTCAGTAATGTTAAGGTTCTCGTACATGAGCTGCAGCCCGTTGATGTGCGACATCTCGGTTGTCTGGTTGCTCTGCGCGTACGCCCGTGATAGGACCAGCCCGGCGCGCGCCGTCCCGTTAGCCCGGATCTGGTCGGCCTGGTTCAGGATGCTCTGCCGCATGGCTTCTGTCACCTTCCTCGTCACGCGGTTGTCCTGGAAACAACAGGTTACCATGGTGATGTGTGTTGTCATAGCAACAAGAGATATTGTAGATGCCCACACACAAAGTTGTGATTGATAATTAGCACAAGCTCAAATTTGGTGACTTCTTGACACCTTAACATTTTCTTGTGAGATCTCCCAAATTTTCCTTTCTGACTCTTTCGAAAATGATGTTACAGTACTGTAACATTCTGGGCAAACATTTTACATGTGACTAGTATTTAGTAAAGAGCAGGTGGAACATCAAATTTTAATGATAAATTCTGAAATGAAATACAGTTTTGGAGGATATTAAAAAAAAATCAGTTGGTATTGGCCTTATACACCCCTATCCTCACCTGAATGAACTGCTCCTTCTCTGCATCTATCTGCAAGGTCAGTGCCGTCATGGACAGTTCCACTATCTGTGCGGGGAGGGTTACGGAGAGCAGTTGAAAGTAGCGCACGTCGGTGTGATAGCCCATGTCACAGTCGGGAGGGGGGCGGCAGAACGCAGGCTGGGTGGAGTTGTCTCCTGTACAGCAGTCACCTATGGGAAGGGATAGTACTGGTTAGAAACATGGTCATCCTGCAATAAAATAGTGTTTCAAACTTTTCAACTGGATAGGAACTGGAGGCCTGTCCGCCTTAGACCAAGGCCTCCCCCCCATAAAGTGCCCCAACAGGGGATATATGGGGGTGTAGCCGGGGTTGTACAACATCTTAGAGCCCCGGCAAAGATGAAGATGAAGAATTTAATAGACGTTTCAAGTGTCATTCTGACCTCTTCATCAGTGAAATGTTAACATAGGGTTTACATCATTTTCAGAAAAGTCAGGAATGGAATACAACATTTTAAAAGTTTGAAACCGTACACTATCTTATTGATTCAACCCTGTATGACTAATATTCACAAGTGTCATCCCACAATTGTGAGAATAAAGGTCACCAAATGGACCTAAAAACCATTCAAACTATGGTTAGACCCTAGGGTGATATATACTGGCCAAGGTGGGACACAGTGTAATCCAGAAGTTGTAAGCTGTGCCCCTGTAAACTTTAAACTTCAAAAAGGTTGCTTTGTGTGCCTAAGAAGGATAACTTGTGCGCTGGGTAACCTGGTGTCTCCAATTAGTCTCACCTAGAAAACACAGTGTCAAGTCAAGTCATGTCACAGTGCACAGTAAAAATGCGGTTATTTTGAACCCTGGTACATGTAGCTCAGGAATTGAGAACCTACCCTGTAGCCTGTCCCGTAGTGCCTGGAGGAACGCTGCCTCTATCTCCGGCCGGCTGCTCATGAAGTTTTCTGTGCTGTACAAGGTCGCTGTCTCCTTGATGGTGCTGTACGCAACCCGGTACAGCACGGGCTCGTAGTCAAGGTCAAACTTGTCATGCAGCAGGCCGACCTCATCTTTCCTGTAGAGCATACAACATACATATGAGACCTTGTCTTTCCTCATCTTCCATGTCAAAGCCATCCTACAAGGATACATAACATGTACAAAACAAAACATACATGTGGGACTTTTCTAATGGTGTATAAAAAATACGTGTTAGACCTGGTCTTTCTTGGGAACAGTATAAAACATGTGGACCTAGCTGTTCTAAATTATTTTTAATATGACCTTGAAATAGTTACTGTAAAAGCCTTTTTTGTTTTCGAGTAGTTTTGATTTAAGAATAGGTTATAAACTTATACAAAATGAACATAATGTGTTATGTTATTCTACATAGAAGACTGGCATAGTTCTGTCTATTCTGAATATTTCTGTTCATGGCCTTGATGCTGTAACAAATGGGAGCCAAAGGTGAAAGGTCAGAGGTCCTGACCTGAGGAAATGCTGGAAGGAGCAGTTGATGATGACCTCCAGCAGGTCAGAGGTGAAGATGGCGAGGTCGTTCAGCCGCACCATGTGTGCCCCGCGCGGGAAGAGTTTGAACTCAAAGTCAGGTCCGATCACGTGGCGCCCTGGGCCGTATACCACCTTCGTGTTAACTGCGCCTGTGGTCCTCTGTTTCGTCAAGCCATACTGAGCAAGAAAAAGGAAAAAAAAGTTTTTTTCACAAATTCATACATGCAAACATGCAATGTCAAAGACCAATAAGCTATGACACTGTTCGACTTTTGTTTCTTCAAGCCATTATGGAACAAGTAAAATTACCTGAACATTGTTTGACTTTGGCGTGGTGGCAGCTGGCTACATTACACCGAACGACTTGTTACACCTAACCCTTGAACATCTAACTCTAAACATTGTTTAAAGCCATCTAATGACAATGCCCCTACTGTACTCAGTGATTTCCACTCTAGATCTGCGATAGTTGTTGGAAAGAATAAGTTTTTGAACACCTCAATCCTTGGTCGATACCTCTGGTACTTGAAAGTATGACTGTTTCTAGTTCTAGTTGAAACAGAATAAGAAATGTTTTCCTTACATGGTAGTAGTCCACATAAGAGAAGCTAGGAGGCAGCAGCCCCACCAGCAGTAGAGCACACAGCCCTACAAACAGGCTGATCTAACTCTGAACATTGTTTAACACCATCTAATGATACCAATGCCCCTACTGTACTTGGTGGCAGCAAGTTCCACTCTACATCTGTGATAGTTCTTGGAAAGAATGAGTTTTTGAACACCTCAATCCTTGGTCGATACCTCTGGTACTTGAAGGCATGACTGTTTCTTGTTCTAGTTGAAACAGAGCAACAGATATTTTCCTTACATGGTAGTAGTCCACGTACATGTATGAAAAGCTGGGAGGCAGCAGTCCGACCAGTAGTGTTTTCCCTATTCTGACTTATACAATCATACAAACAGAAAATATAACACTTCTCCTAGAATTGTAGATTCTCTCCTTACATGGTAGTAGTCCACATAAGAGAAGCTGGGCGGCAGCAGTCCCACCAGTAGTAGAGCGCACAACCCCACAAACAGGCTGATGAGCAGTGTCCGCACGCTCAGCCCCAGGCCCTTCACACGGCGCGTCAGCCACGGGAATCTTCGCTCGGGCTGCCGGGGTGATGCGACCTCCACATCTAGATCTGTGGAGGTGATCTCGGGCTCTGTCTGGGGGGTGTTTTCTGGAAGGTCTGTCCTGCGAGCTGGGAGAAAAAAAATGTCCTCATGACAGGAACTAGTCCGTACGCTCAGACCCAGTCTCTCCACGTGGTGTGACAGCCACGGGAACCTTCGCTCCGGCTGCTCGGGTTCCCGTGGTGATGACACTTCCACGGCTGGGTCTACGGAGAGTACCTCCAGCTCTGTTTGGGGGGCGTTTTCTGGAAGGTCTGTCCTGCGAGCTGAGAGAAAAACACGGTTCTCATGGTAGGAACTATACAAAAATACTATATTCATTTTATTAGTAAGGAGAGAACAGAGGTGATTTGTTGCTCTGTTTGAGGGGCATTTTTTGGAAGGTCTGTCCTGTGAGCTGAGAGAAAAACACGGTTCTCATGGAACTAGTGCACAGAAATACAGTCCTTACATATTTCCTCCTTAGTAGTAAGGAAAGGACATTGCCGCGAGTTCAAGGCTAATTCTACAGAAGTGATTTGTTGCTCTATTTGAGGGCATTTTTTGCAAGGTCTGTCCTGTGAGCTGAGAAAAAAAGGTCCTTATAATTTACAAGGACTACCTTTGCAGGGCTCGAAGTACTTTTTCTGCATACCTGCACTGGTGCATGTAACATTGAAAACCACCTGCTTGCTCCAGACAAATTTTACCTGCATCACTCAGACTAAGACCTTCCACTATAGCTAGTGGTAACAGAGAAGACTACTGCTAGTATTACAGGTTCATCGTACCATCGTCCCCCAGTACCAAGGAAATTCCCCCATAGGGTCAGATATCAGTTTTCTCGTTGTTGAAAATCTTAACGTCAAACAATGTATCTTCCTTGTTTGATTGATATTTATTTATTGACTTAACTAGAACTATGTGTGGCCCAAGCATCAATTTTGACAGCTCAACTTGCATATAGTTGTTTGACCATTGAACACAAGGTAGTGAAATGCTTATGTTTGCAATGACAAGAGGGCCTTTAACATAACAACATTGTTTGTAGACTATGCATACAGTATGTCCCAGCCTTACCTGCAAGCTGCACTAAAGCATCAGAAGAAAGCATGCAAGAGACAGAAGGATGGTCACACAGGGGGTTAGGCAAGGAAACAACATTCATTTAAAGATGGTTTATAAGACAAGACAACAACCATGCTAGAAAGGGATAGAATTGGGTGTGCAAATTTATATCTGATTCAGTAACAATTTTGGAAAGGACAAAATGTAGTTATTTCAAATGCTATATCTTGCAAAAAATGAGGATTATACAATGTAAGCTGTTGGATGTTAAGCAAAGCCAAGGACTAAAATAGGCTGTGAAGCTCTACAGTAGCAGACAAAATCAGTGACTCGCAGCTGCCAAGTTTTAACAGCAAAGGTGCTAAAATGCAGCAAGGCAGCAAAATTATGTTTCTACATCATGTTCTTTTCACTACTGCAAATACAAAGAAGATTTGTGTTTTCAATCTGTGGTTGATGATTTGTGAAAGTTCACATGATGATTTCTTCAACCTGTTTCTGTGGTAGGGAGACCTTTATTAGGTGATGCCAGAAAAAATTGTTGGTTTCCACATCATTTTCTCTTTACTGTACTGCAAATATACAAAGAAGTATCATTCTTCCCATGTGTCAGGTTGAAAATTTGTGAACAAACTAACCAAATATTTGGATATCAATTTCTTCAACATGTCTTCTTTGGTTGGAAGACCTTATCAAGTTGTTTGTTTATTCCATGTGTATTTACCTGACACAGCAGTGGATATGGTTGGTCCAAAGCTGGTTTCCATGACAACCTGACTGGGACGGACTCCCATGAGCCTCCATGTCTCAAGAGGTTCTTCTGTGCAGAAGGGGGAAGGGGGGAAGGGGTTTGGAAAGGGGGAAGGAAACGGGTGTAAACCAGTCCACAACCGTTAGTAAGAAGGGTGCACCAAAATAGCAAACACAACACCAGTACTACTACTGGTAAATTATATCTACATGCCATTTGTCATCAATATGCTGCATGTGTGCATTAGAAAGAAATCTGTGATATGTATCTGTACTGGTAAGTACGTAAATACATTAACACTGGTCAGTTTAAATTGGGAAGTTCAGTTTCCCGATTTCCTGGGGGCCATCTTGGTTATCCAATTTTCTAACTTTTTTTCTACTGAAGATACCGTTCACTTTTACATGTCATTGGAAAGAGCATGATTTCCCTTGCATCATAATGTCTTTAATTTGGTCATAACGTGTAACATTATGAAGATATTCCATTTTGAAAGTTGCCCACGGTTCTTAGAAACAAAGTTCAGCACTCTACAATGCATTCTAGTAACATGTGTTTTTGAGTATCATAAGTGCTTGTGAAAAAAACAAAAAACAAACAGTGCATGTACCTCCTTGTGCCATGACTGCCTCATAAGAAGGTAGAACATCGTGATACGAAGGAGGCTGGTCACTAGGAGCTGCACTGTCCTCTGCACCTGCACCTTGAAGAAAAGTTAAAGTCTTAGACATCTTAAAAACTGATAAGAAGGTGACAACATATCCCATCACGAAAACACTCTGGTGGTCCCTGTCTCCCACACCAACAGTCATATGAGAACTTTTGTACCAACAACTGTTAGGCTCTGGAACAGTCTTCCAAGGGAGATCGCTAAGATAGGGACAGACAAAGATTCAAACGTGAAGTTACAATGTAATTCTTTCCTCAGTGCAAAACTCTGACAGCGTTCTGTCTAGGCAGTCCTGCTGCTAATGCTGAGTGAGAGCTGATATAGATAAAAAAATAAAAATTAAAAAAAAAACATTTTTTCTCAAAGCTCTGTGCCAAGTTCTGATCATACATGTGACTAAAGCATTCCATAAGTTTTGATGATGATAAGGACGTTTTAGTTGAGTATGGGGCCTTTACATGATTGGAAAGGATGCCACATTTACTCCTATTCAGATGATTCCACTTTCAGTTTTTGTCGGCAACTTGTAGATGGGTATTTCATCCTTCTATTTATTACATTGATATCTATAATCATTTTCTGCCCACCTGTGACTGTGACCAGGCTAACACTGGCTGCTGTAGCCGGCCTCAGCTCCTGCCTGAGGGGGGCCAGGGGCAGGGTCTGGTACTCAGGGGGGGACAGGGGGGCTAACCTACGGGGGGAGGAACGGGGGGTTTCCACATCGGTGAGGTCCTCCAGGGGGATGTTTCCTAGGGGGGTGGATCGGCCGGAGCCAGGGAGGCTGGAGGGGGGGCGGAGGGGCAGGGGGGTGGACAGGCGCTCTGGGGGGTACTCTTCTGAAAAGGAGAAAAAAATTGTCACAATGTAGCTGAAATCATGATCAAAATTGTTGGCCCCCCAGTAGGGGCATTATTATTACTATTAGATATATACCTTCAAACAATATTTAGAATTAGATGTTCAAGGGTTAGGCGTAACACGTCGTTCGGTGTAATGTAGCTAGCTGCCACCATGCCTACGAAGCAGGTGTGTTACGCCATAGGGCGGTTATACCGGTTATACAGATACAGATACACATGAAAAATCATAAGAAGAAAAATCATTACAGTGTGTATAAATTAGATTGTTAAGAATCAAGAAAACAAGAAAGCTCGCTCTGAAGCCAGTTGTGGAGTCAGAGATCAGGATGATAATGAAAGGACATATTTCTTACCTTGTCTGCTATCCTCGTTAGCTGGAGTCATAAACGAGGTTTCCTCCTCGCTAGCCTCCCCATCCTCCACCTGGATCGTTACTGGACCTTCCCTGGTCTCCATGGCGATGCCTTCATCTCCTACAGATGTCCTGACAGGACTGTCATTGGGGTGTTGTCCTGTAACATAGATAGGTAGGGGATTGACAATGTACTGGTTGAACTTACAATATGTAAGGATTACAATTTGTATATTGTTAGAACCTTTGCTTAATTTAAAGCTGATACATGTTACTCTCCATGCAGAGGTTTGGGTTTTGGGGGTATTTTTAGCGTGTTTTTAGGCTTTTTTATCGGGGTTTCTCTTTTGCACTGAATTTTTTTCCCCACCAAACCCAACAAAAAAAAATTCAGTGCAAAAGAGAAACCCCGATAAAATGCCTAAAAACACGCTAAAAAATACCCCCCAAACCCAAACCTCTGCTTGGAGAGTAGATACATGTAAGTAATGTTATGGTTAAAAGTTTTCTTTTTCCATTATGCAAAATAGTTCAAAATGTTGTCTGGCCTAGCATGTTGACTTTGTGGCTTATTGTATCCTGAACTCTACCTGTGCCTGAATGTGTTAGGGTAAGGAGCAGGCACAGTCCTGTACAGTCTTTACATATCCACGAACACAGAACCCTGAGCATGAACATGATCTAGATATATGAAAGTTTATTGCAAATTCATGCCCGAGGGCTAGTTGCAAGAACATGATAACAACAGTAAACAGTAGAATGATAATAAGTGATGCTAATGCTACTTTATATATAACGTTACATTTGTAGTTATTGTTGGGTTTGATTTCTTTTCCGTGTGCAGTGGAGTATGAAATGGCCGACGTTTTGCGAGATATATGAATTGGGAGGTGTATAACATGGCTCCAGCGGTGGCATTCACACTAGTAACTAAAGCTGTGCACTGGGTACCTATAGTACTAGTACCTGGTGTTACGGTACATACAGGTACATGTACACATCACCTGTGTTAGTATTGCTCACCTGAGTCTGTGTCATCACTAAGCTGCACACCTGACGACTCCGTCTCACTCATCACCTCCATCACTGTCACTGGGGCTGTCGCCATGGCAACATCATCCTCACCATCACCATCCGTTTCCATGGCAACGGTCACTGTTGGAAGACGTAGCTCAAAATTAATACCTGACAGAAATGTGCAATAATTGTATTCTTCAGGTTTACTGAGGAAACTGAGCATTTGTTTGATGTAACCATGAAAGTGTCTTGCTCTTTCCAGTAATTACAATGATCAGTGGATTCAGGAACAGCTTTAGTTCACATACTGAAAAGAAAACAGAACTGAAAACAGAACAGGAACTGATGATCATATATCATCGAAACGAAGTTTTATAGTTTGGTCCACCCAAAATAAACCCTACCAAACGTCAGATTAAGATAGGTTTAGGCCCAAAAGTCCCCTCAACTATTAAAGAAACAACCGGAGTACACACCTGTTTGGAGATCAAATCACAAAACAGAAGCAGACGGTCGCGATCGCCGTTTTCTCTTCTCTATGTTGTTATTGTTGGTTGTCTGACCGCCATCTTGAAAATTACTGACCGCATCACGCCTAGATCAAGGCGGAATGATATAAAATTAGCAAAAGTGACTTACTCTCAAATTTAAATTAAACCGTGTATTTTGAACTAAAAAGCACTTAAAATTGCAACAAGATTACGTTAAGTGAATAAATGCGAGAAAATCATGAACCTTAGAGTTTGTTAACAGGTTGAAAGAAAGATTCTTGTAATGGAACTATTTTCTTTCGTGACCAAGGAAAGTGGGTGTGGCAGCACCGCTCGCTAACGCCACCTTGCGATAAGACAATGACTTGCAGCCTTTCCAAATCAGAATGGGACAAGCAAGATAAGATGTACTACGTCTACATGTGCTTTTGCTGTAAAATTTTTAATTTGTCTTCGACTCAAAACTGATAAAAAGGATGTAAGATAAAAGACTTTGATTTTACCCACACAGAGGTTTTGAACTGCAAGTTGACACATATTAAACTTTCATGAAAGTTCATCTGTGTTGGTAGTTAATTTGTTACATGACTTAATAATAATTTACATGTTTAACGTAAACGTTAACGTTAAAGTTAAAACTTTTGATCCAACGCAAAAAGTTCTCTCACCCAGAGCTTTCGACCAGTCACTCTGGTCTTCCTCAGTAGACTGGGTCTACTAGCTCTAGGCGAGAGAACGTTTTTGTGTTGGATCAAAAGTTTTAACTTAAAACTCAGATCAAACTTGACCGTCAGATCAAGTTTAAGTCGGTCAACGACCGTGCGGTCACTTTTCAAGATATTCGTTTAATTGTTGGGTAAACTTTTGTCTGTAAATCATTGCCCTGAAGTTAAATGCCAGTCATTGTCAATAAATTATTAATCTACCCTATCGTTCATTTTTCGACCTCACGGTCAGGGGGTCAGGGTCAATAGGTTGGTTTTTGACCGTTCCATTCTGACAGTGAGAATATTTTTATGTAAGACTTTTTGCCACAATCAGTTGTTTGTAAACCTGATATAAGTAACGAACCATATGGTATTGTTACTAAATTTTTATTCCTATATTTAATACATTTATTACTAAAACTTTGTATTGGATTTTAGATCTTCAAAGCCCACTGGAAAAGACTTGTCACCCCCTGAAATAGAATGGTTCCGCCTGCACACGCTACAATGTTTACGTAAGCTTCAGCTGATGACATTTGACCTGACAGCTCGCTCAGGCGAGAAGAAAACCGCTAGTCATAGTTTCACGTTACACCCAGGACCGTTACTCGCGGGTTCATGTTACAGCTGCCGCAGCTTCGCGCTACAGGGGTGCCAACGGGACTGTAGAACTCAGGTAATTTGTGTAGAGTGTTCAGTATAGCACAAATGAGTAGAGACCAACAGAACAGAGCTGTAGTGTAGAATTCCAGTTTGGGACGCTCTTAATTTTGATGGACAACTCTGGTCATAGTGGTTTATCAAGTGTCCTGTAGTTGTAGTTGTACGGAGTTTCTTGCTTTGAAGGACACTCTAGAATAGTATAATACTATTAATAGTATTATATTGATTTCTAATGTCTTCCTGTAATATAATATTGTCTAACTCTGTCAAATTATAAGCGGTAGAGTAGAGCCCGATCCCGTCTAAGTAGAGTAGAGTAGAGTAGAGTACTGTATTTTCAACACTAATAAACTTTTATTCAACTTCATAAGTTCTAGAGAGCCAGACGGCAGAAGCCCTGACTTGCGTATAACTTATAAGTCGTTACAAGACTTGTATGCAGTTAAGAATGAATCTAAGAGCTATGAATATGGTCTTTGTTTCATAAGATCCTCATAACCTTGGCAACATACTTGTTGAATGTCTTTTCTAAAAATTCTGTCCCCCCCCCCTCTGCATTTTTTTGTCATATTTTCTTGATTTTTCTCCAACATAGAGTGTGTACTTTCTTGACTCAATGCAAGATGTCGGATGAATGCCTTACCTTAAGTAACCTTTAACCTTTGGACCCAAGTAATGTGTACTAGTGATGTACCCTTAATTAATTACCCAGATACCTAGTAACCTAGATATATCATTACATAACATTTATACTCATGCCGCTTTGTTTAATGGGCTATACACTCATTTTAATCCCTTTTAGTTAGACTAGAGATATAATGTTGTAAAATTCTTCTCTCTTATATGCCAAATAAAACTGTTACTCAAGCAACTGGATATGATTTTGGAAACGGTCAGACGTTTCAGGTAGCATCCACTACCTTTTGTCAGTGACACAGAGTCAGGGACCTTCTTTCTTTGATATATATCTATTATATTTTGTATTTCTTTATTCTTCTATATAGCTACAGAAGCATAACAGAAGATGGGCCAGACAGGGTCCCTGTTTTGTGGGCCAGCTTACCTGAACAGCACTGCTACCTCACCAGGACAGCTGCTGCCCATAAGGAACAGCACAGAAGGACAGCCCAAGGTCATCACAGCTGACCAGCCGTTTGGCAATGAATGCCTAGTGGATGGCCTGAACCTTATACCACATGTAGCCTTCTTACCGCTGGCTGTGCTCTGTGGTAAGTGTGGTTATGCAGCATTTATAAGTGACCCTGCCTCCAGCTCCAACATTCACTGCTATTTTTTGGCATAGTGATACGTCTGTAGTACATGTATCACCTAGCTCAGTCACTGGTCATTGTCTTCGTCAGAAGGACTATGAAATTGTCTCGCCGGAGTGTGGGGAACTGCGGATTTTGCGATATAACTCTGGAAGACATGATTTGACGTCCATGATTTTTGGCAGGCATATTACCGCTGTTGAGGCCAAAGTCAAGTACAAGTTTCGGCTTCGTGGGGGGTTCGTGCGTCACGTTAGTGCACCTTTTGTGTTTGTGGCTTGTTAGCAAGATAACTCAAGTATTTGTAAAATGTTGATTATAATTCTTGGTGTGGTGCTTACTATTGTCGGGACCAAGGATAAGTTCGTTACTGAGCTTCGTGGGGGGTTTCGTTGTGACTACAGGGGGCATTTTGTTAATTTTTCTTGTGAGCAGGATAACTTTTGTATGTGTGGATGGAAGTTAATGAAATTTGATAGGCATATTACTGTCGTGGTCTCCAAGATTGAGTTCAAAGATGAGAGTCGTGGAGGTCGTTATGTCCCCGTAATAGGACCTTTTGTGTTTAGAAATCCCCCACCTACATCTGCTTGGAGACAGCCGACAGCTGGATATAGCTGGGGAACCCCATAATGGGATGGGATCAAATGACGTTACATTGAGGGATTGTACTATAACTTCAGCAGGGGGAGGATAGGTTGGACATATGTCAGGTTATTTTCTACGGCCACACTAAGTAATTGCTATGGATGACGTCCACTGGAGACCTTAAATCTAATTACCTTAAATTTAAGGACAAGCGCGACAATAAAAACACGAAGGACCGAAAAAACGAGATGCCTAGATTTGGAATATACTAACTGTAGAAGTACAAATGTTAGGACACAAAGAACACAAGAAACAAGTCTTCTATTTGTCATAAAGACAAATTAACAAAACAGCAGTAGTCACCCTGTTCTGATTCTCTCCTTTATAACATCTTCTCTTATTATATTTTGCGGCGCTGTCGTGACACTTTCAACACAGTAAGAATTTCTTGAACGTTTTTTTTCCAGTAACAGTCCAAACTCAAATAACGTAGGGGGGGGGGGGGCGTAACACGGGTGACGACGCATCTGTATAATCTGCGGCAAACTGTTTCAGGGTGTTCTGTACCATAAAAATAGTACAGAGATTCTTTTGTTCTTTAGACCAAATTGATTATTAAAAAGAGTGAAGAATACGCATGTTAATTTCTCTAGAACGATGTACCTCTGACGAAGACATGAGATCTCCGACCTCTAGTTTTGTTTTGCGTTGTGCAACACCTTTTAAAAAGGAAGAAAACAATTTGGGAGTTTGAATCAAAGTTGTAGCCAACCAGCAAGACAGTATCCAATGCATTGATAAGACACCATCCTTTAGGGGCCAATTTGATAATGTCTTGCCTGTAGGATGCAGTCTTGCCAATTGACTACAAGTATGTCTTTGCCACCAAAGGATCTGCTTGGAGAGAGACTGTATGATCTTTCCGATGAAACAAATAGTTGTTGTTGTTGTTGTTGTTGTTGTTGTCCTTGTTTAACGTCTAATATATTGCTAGATGTGGTCTCTTGGTGCTGAAATAGTTCCACAAGTTATGGTACCACATTAAGAAGTGCACAGAGTGATCAAGCTGTGTTTCCCCACGACTTCTGTTGCAGCTGCCCTGTATGCCAGATGCTGTCGCCATGGCAACAGCTACCAGGACAAGAGAGCGTGGGTCTTGTTCCCGGGGCACCACGTGCGATGGGTGATCACCTTTGTTCTGCTGTTTGTCACTCTTTGCGAGGTAAGGTCATTCAATTTCAAACTCGATTTTTCGGTTCTCCAATTTGGGTACAGAAAAAATACGAATAGAGAAAAATAAGGTTGAGTGCCTTAATAAAACTACTTTGAAAAGAATCAGTGTATGGAGGAGTGGCTAGGCTAGCACACACAAAATCGAGAGGTCATGCTGTCTGGCAAGACAATATGTCCACAGAAAAGACACTTAAATTTAATAATCAGAACTTTCTTCACTCCACTCACTCTCTCCAACAGCTTAGTCAGCCCAGGTGTAAAATGCGTAGCTGGCTTCTGTCAAGAGGCAGTGGAAGGAGAGGGATGGGCTCTGCCTTCCAATACCTAATGCCCTAGACACAGTGGATTAAAAACTCACGTCCCCTATGGACTGATAAAGGCTATGGGAGTACCATTTTACACATGTATAACATCATGTTTATCATATAGATATGATTAGAAGTCAGTGTGTATCTGCTTATTTCTATTCCATGCAGATAGGAGAAGGAGTGCTGTCAGACAGTTTCACCCCCGGCCACCACCCCCACCTGTATGTACCCTGGATCCTGGCCTTTCCTGCTACCGTACTGGCCGGGGCCTTCTACCATCAGGTAAACATTCACATGTAGAGCACAGCAGTTCTTATGGGCCTTAAATCTAATCTCCAAGCAGATCGTACATGGAGGCAAGGTGGTATCCAAACAGTCAAGCATAGTCCGTTAGGCATGGCTTGACTGATTGGATACTGCCTTGTAACCGTAGGAGCTGCTTGGAGATTACTCACATTCTATAGCCTTTTGACAAAAAGTTTATGTTGGAAACTATCTTGGATTAAACAATAGGTTAGTGACATCTGCCATTGTCTTTGCTGTTCCTAATATTGTCTTGGTTTGCTTCCCATTAACTGTTTGTTTTTTCCTGAGTGCTTGATACCAGGTTTCCCAATTGTTTACCATACTAGCTAGGCTGCTATTGGTATTTCATTTCTGTTGAGTGGCCTTCCAAACTTACTGCACTATGAGATCTCGTGATCATTGTTTAACAGGTATTACAGTGTAAATAATCTTATTTCCAACTTTGACAAGCTACAATACGTTTGTTTGTTACAGATTGAGATGTCCAACTATCCCCGCTTGCTTCCCCTCCTGGGCATCTACAACATCCTGTCTGTAGTCTTCAAGTTTGACAGACTGCACCATTTGGTGGGCAGGGGTGTTGGCTTGGGCAGCCTGAGGTTGGACCTGACCATTGCTTCAATAATTCTGTACCTCCTGATGGTACTGCTGGAGGGATATGTGATGTACAGAAAGGTGAGAGGCTGACAACTTGGATTGGACTTTCTTAATCTCAACTTTTCCTTCCCCTATCTCTGACATTCAGGATAACCTTAGTACAACTTTTTGGTATCTGTATCGGTATAGCTGGTATAACTGCCCTTTGGCATAATTCACCACCAATACAGAAAATTATAAAGGATGAAAATATTTGGTCTTAAAGCTGACTGTCCCCTTACATTTTTACAGTAGTAGCTGATGATGACCCCTTTTCACTTTTCATTTTACATATTATGTTCTTTAATTGCAAAGTACTACCAGATTAAAAAAAGGTATTTGTGTATCTTCATACAATGTAATCTACACTCTCATTGGTCGAATCTTTCCCTCTCCTCAGCGTTACCTGACCTCCCATCCAATCAGTGACCCCGTACCAGACGACCTGCTGCATGGAGACGTGCGTTACGTGCTTCCGTACGTGACCCTCCCATCCCGCATCACACAGTCTTGGCACAACTGGCTGATGCGTCTTGGGTACAAAGTGCCGCTGCAGTTTCACCACCTGGGAAAACTGCCTCAGGTACTGAGTAAAGATGGCAGTGTGGGTACCATCCTGGTTAGTTTACGTCCGCTCCCACAGTCGCTACCACCAACCACGTAAACTAACCAGGATGGTACCCAGGCTATAAAAATGGTACTCTTTTACACAACCAAGTCTTTTATTCAGCCAACGTTTCGGTGACCGTCTGTCACCTTTCTCTGGGCAATGCTGACTGGTTCACATTGCATTGCAGCACAGGTGTCACTACTATAGATGCATACCCCAACATACAATATTTACATGTCTACAGATATGCGTGATTACAGGGAAATGCATCTACAATGCGGTCCCAAATGTACGGCAGTTGGCTATATACATAATTGTGGTCAGTTATTAAACAAAACCTGATGAAACTATTCATGGATGCCCGAGGTACTGTGGTTTATTACCTTTGTGTATGGAGGTTTTATTATGGTGTGTTTATCAGTTTGTTTGCCTGTGTGTTTGAAATACAATAGTCACTACAAGCATGTCTGTAGAACATACTGGACCTGCGCAAATTACCCAAATTTCCCACCGTTTTCGTTGGATGTTTGATCAACGTTACACCTGAATTTTGCCCATTCAGAGGATATCTGAAGGTAGCAATTAAATAGATAATAATATACAGTGTACAAAATACTTTTTTGAACCAGGTTGCCCAGTTGCTCAGTGGGCAACCTACGGCAAAAATTAGGTTGCCCATCAGAATTTTAGGTTGCCCCACCTACAAGTTACTACCAAGTAAAATTTGGTTGCCTGGGGCAACTGGGCAAGCAGGTATTTTGCATGCAGATATATAAGCTACAATTTTCCCTTCACTCAGGACTACCATGCCAAACCAGTGTATCACCACTTCAGAGAGGTTTACGAAAGAGAAAAGGTGAGAATTTCAGATTTTTTTTCGTTTCTTGCATGCATGCATGCTTAATTTGTCTTTCTTGGTCTTTTCTTCTTCCTTGGTTTTTGTATTCCTGTTTTCCTTCTTTCTCTCTTTTTCTTTCTCCTTCTCCAACAAGTAGGTAAAAGACTGGTGCTGTCTGCTTCTAGCTTGAGGAACCAAACCTACAGTGGCAGTTGTATGTAACCTGTAAGAGAGAATTGCATTTTGTATTCTGTTACTTTTCCCATTTTCTTTTTCATTCCCATTCTCACATTTTCTTCCTACAGCAAAACTTTAGCAGCATATAGGGTGTCCCATCCAATGTATGTTTTTATTAATGGTAAAGATGTTGTTTGACTCCTGTATTGGCCAGAAAAGAGTTCTCTGTTTTTCCAAGGAAAGTGATCGATAATATGATCTTCATGTATTTCTCAGGAAAAAGCGGCAAAGAACAAGAAGTCTGTGTCCCTGTGGAAGGTGATTTTTCTGGCGTTTAGCCGACAGTTCATGAAGACAGGACTGCTGAAGCTGACCTCTGACATCTTCACCTTCATCAACCCCCTGCTGCTGAGGGGCATCATCACGGCTGTCATCGGCGCTGGGCTGGCCGCGGAGGGGGGAACTGCTGTACAGCAGGTAGGAAAGGACAGGCTTTTTTGCAGTTAGTTAAAGGATTCTGTAAGAAACAGGAGGAGCGAGTAGAAACAGAAAGACACTTCTGCTCCCTGGCCGGGGTTCGAACCCATGACCAAACCCGAGCTTCAAACCCAACGCCCCTACCGATTTGGCTAAAAGGTCTAGACCCATAGGCTTGGTCAGTTGGTAGTGCCTATAAACCTACACACCTTTTGGTATACAGGAGCGGTGTTCATCTCTACTCTGTCTATGGTCACATAGCACTACAGCTGAGAGTTAGTCTACTGGTTGTGTTTTGTTTTCAACTGCTTGTACTTTCTCATAATCTTTGAATGCTTGAAAGCTTGGCACAGCTTTCTTGTGTCATGTATATTGCCTTAGATTTTGAGAATACATGTGGAACATACACCTGTTCGTGGTGTATAAAGTTTAAACCATCATGTTAACCCCCCTACAGGGTCCTTACCTGGTTAGCCTGGGGGAGTTCCTGGGAAATGGGTACATCTTGCTGGTTCTGCTGCTGCTCTGCACACTGCTGAAGTACACGTTTGAACAGATGTCAGTCTTCCTCAACTTCCAACAAGGAGTCCAGCTCAGGACTGCCATGCAGGTAGGGACAGGCTGCTGTTCCAATGTTATCTGTTTGTCAATGTAACAATAATGTTAACGTTGGTACAAGCTGCATCTGTCATCTGTGTGTCAATCAGGGCTCCAAAGACATCTTCTGCATTGGTGCAGGTAACATTACCAGACAAACTTTACCTGCACCACTCATAATTAAGAAGTATGGATCATACCAAAAATTGTTAAGCAACCATTGCCATTATTTCTTATTTACATTTCATAACAGTCAATATGAAAATCTATAAACATCTCATTATAAGAATATGTAAACCCAGTACATGTAGCTCAACTGTCCAGTGAGTTCATTTGAGCTAAAAAAAACTGGAACGAGATCAGTTTTCCTTTGACTTTCGCTATATATAGTAAAATGAAAGTGTTTGTTCCTCAGCCATATGTGCAGTGTATTATATATCCCATGTTTGTAACTTTCAGTCTGTAATGACTGTTGGTGCCCCCTCCCCCCTTATAGACCCTGGTATACACCAAGATCCTGCGGCTGTCGTCCTGGGTGCTGGGGAGTGGAAAGGTCACGGCAGGTCAGGTCATGAACCATGTCAGTATGGACGGGATGATGCTCATGTTCTTTGCTGCCCTGTTTCACCACACATGGTCCATGGTGCTGCAGGTAAGGTGCACTGGTTTTCTATTTATATGATACATACATTTTAAAACAAACTTGCTCAGTTAGTATAGAAATACATGTTCTTTAAAGCCCTGTTTCACCACACATGGTCCATGGTGCTGCAGGTAAGGTGGACAGATTCTCTTTATATGAGGTAGCGCTACATCAGTGCAAAGCCATAGTATTTAAGTATAGAAACATATTTTCTTTGCTGCCCTGTTTCACCACACATGGTCCAAGGTACTGCAGGTGAGGTGCACTGGATTTCTCAATATGATGTGCATTTTATATACAAATTTGTCACGTGCAAGGCAAAGAGACCACTTCTAGGCACTGAACTGACCTCTGGTTATTACTGTAACAGCATCTCTTTTCCCTAAGTCAGAAGCATCAATGCTTGAGACATGCTAAAGTCACACAGAATGAGGACTAACAGTACTGACATATAGGTGTGAGTTAGTTCTCACTCAGTGCTTAGTGAGTCTTTCTCACACTATATGGTGTACATGTATGGGGCAGCCTTAGTAAGAACTTAAGTAGGGGGCTAGTCCACTGGTAATGGTGTGTGTAATAATGGCTAAGTGCTAAGCAGAGAAAGCAGTACCATATCTAAAGTCTTTGGTATGACCAATGCCAGGGATTGAGCCTACACCCATCTTTTGTACATGTGCATGTAACTTTCAGAATTCTTTTACTGGACAGTATCAAAACATGTCCATGTCATTTGAACCTTCTATATCTGATATAGTTCCTAATTCCTGTTTGTTACAGACTGTAGCGGGAGCTATCCTTCTGTACTACCAGCTCGGCTGGAGTGCCCTGATTGGTGCCAGTATCATCCTCTGTATGCTGCCGGTCAACTACAAGATCGCCAGACAACTGGAAATTGTCACCAAGACTAAATTGGTCAGTCTGAGCTTGAGGTCTATTATCTGAATAGTACTTTCAGGTCTAAAATGAATACATCTTTCATTGGAGAATAAAGATGTGAAGATTGACTATTGTCTGGTTATCAGGTCAACGCTATGTGAAATATTCTGTTTTTGTTGGAACGTTTTTCGGGTTTCCTTCCTGTCCTTGTTTGAATGTAGAAGTTTGGATGTACTTAGTCTACATTTTACCCTGATAGATTGAGTGACTATATTGCTGATCTTTTCAGTTCTATTTGAGTTCAATCAGTGTCTAAATGCTTTTTCTCTGCATTTCCAGGCTGTTTCAGACCAAAGGATGAAGAGAATCAATGAAACTATCCAGGTTAGTATCAACTGGAGCTACAGTACAACAGTAAACCAAAGCAGCTCTTTCACATGACATTTTGTATAGCATGATAGTGGAGTAATACTAGTAGTTGTACTGTAACAGTTGAACTTTGGCCTTATTGTTTGACGTTTGATTTTGGCCTTTAACCTTTGACTTTACCACATTTGTTCATTTTCAAATAGCAAGTAATAGTGTCATTAGAATTTACATGTTGAATGAGGAAAATCATCAAGTAAATGTACTGTAATAAACAAACTAAAAATAGGTGAAACATCACAGAGAAAAATCTGTCTGTCCAGGGCATCAAACTGCTGAAGCTGTACGGTTGGGAACACATCTTCTCTGACAACGTCATCACGGCCAGGAACAAGGAGGTCAAACAGATGTACAGGAGGGCATTCTGGGAGATTCTCACATGTGAGTGGACAAATACACATTCTCAAATATAAATGCCTACCTGCCTACTACATAGACAAGAAGCTAGGGCCCTAGACTCTGCTACATCTGATCATTTTTTAATAGAAAGCAAATATAGATTCTGAAAAGTTTATTGCAAATTCGTGCCCGGAGGCTAATTGCAAATTACAAAACATAAAAGAACAATGAAATAGAATATAAAATAACTGCCCAGGGTCTGGGATTGGAAAACTGGAGGTTGCTAAATGCAAACCAGAGATTGGTTAAAGATCAAGTTTTATAAAAAAAATGATTTAAAAAATCATCCACATTGCTAAATATCAGAATATCCAGGACCTGCCATCATTCATCTGACTTTTCTTTGAATATAGAATGTTTATGATGGCTAAAAATGTATTATGATAGAGACTGATTTTGTTTGTTCTGTTTTTCAGTGTTCATCACACAAGTGACACCCGTAACTGCAACACTCATTGTAAGTATGACAAACTGTTTTAATTTCTTCATTTTCTCATGGGCTTTGTTGCTTATTGAATACTGTTTTGCTAATCGGATACTGTTTTGGCTAACAAAAGATCTGCTTGTCCATTAAGTGATAATTTTGTCATTAAAGTTCATCTGTGTTCATCTCGGTAATTACATATATTAACTTTTGTTCGAACATGAAGGATAGTTCTCACCTAGAGCTTTTGACCAGTCACTCTGCAGATCTGGTCTTCCTCAGTAGACTGACCCAGTGAGGCTTGTCACGTGGCTTCTCTGAAATGTGACATCAACACTGGGTAAATGATTATGTCTTCATTCTAAAATGTCTTAAAGTTTCTAATCTCCTGTTTCCGTCTTGTTTTCCAGGCCTTTGGAACGTACGAGTTCTTCAGCCACAAACAGCTGACCTCGGCTGACGCCTTCACAGCGCTCTCCCTGTTTAACATCATGGCCATGCCCCTCATCATCTTCCCCATCGTCATACGTACCATGACTAACGCCCGCGTTGCCATTGAGCGGCTCGTACCCTTCCTGGAGTCTGCCGAGGTGGAGGCCATAGGAGACATGTCTCGTGTTGATGTGGACGGGGAAGGGAAGGGTGGAAGGGATGGAGAGGACAAACACAGGAACACTGAGAGGGACTCACTTCTGGTATGACTGAAATACATCTGTATCTGTATAGCTGGTATAAACACCCCAGCATAATGCATTATCTTTGCAGGCATGTGGCAAGGCAGCAGCTGGCTATATTACACCGAATGACCTATTACATGTAGTAGTATTACAATTAACCTATGCACATCTAACTTAAACTTTGTTAAAGATATGTGTCTAAGTTGGCAAGGTGGTCTTGTGGTTATGTAGGTTTGTTGAATCTAAAGGTTCTTAGTTGAAATCCCTACAAGGTGTCATTGTTGTGCTCTTGAGAAAGGCACTTTTCGCCTATTTCCTCTCTTGAAAATGAGTACTTAGCTTTGGCTAGAGATGTCCCTTGGATGGGATGTAAAACTGATAGTTAATTTAGATAACATGAATGCCATTGTGCCTTACAGAATGGCCATGAGCAGATTGAGCTCACAAAACACACGCCTGTGGAAGGGGAACTGTCTGATGATGTAGCCATTCAGGTGAGTTTCAGACAGATTAGAATAAAAAATCAAAGATGTCACACCACTGTGAAATATTTACAGTTTTCATTAACTTCTTGTTTTACGCATTGTTGTGAATTTCTTTCTGATTCTGTCTTCAGTCGTGTGGTTCTGATTCAAGATGTAAATACTCAATACACCACAGACAGTTGCATTTGTTAATTGTTTACATTATAGTGCCATACATGTATGTGACTGTGATTTTTGTCTCAGGTTCGAGATGGGAGTTTCACCTGGGAGTTGGACTCTGAAGTAGCCAATGTCAGTAACATCAACCTGTCCATTCCTAAAGGTAGAACTACCCATATTTATATATGACAACTAATTTCTATGTGTGTACTGTGAATTGTAGGGCAAGAAAAGGTCAGATGCTCTTTGTGAATGGTCTAGGCCCATGGTTTTACACTGTTTTATGATGGTTTTTGTTATATCTCAAGACAAGAGCCGTGAAAAGCTAACACACTAGTTTCAGCACCAAGGACAGTATCGTTGTTGCCTCTTTTTTTTCAACCCTTATTTATGCTTGAAAATGGTCATGGTCAACTTAGTGACTTACATAAATCATTCAGTTTGGTGTAAAGGTGGTGGCATCATACATTATGTATAACCTGAATTCAACCTAGTTTCCTTATGCATACAACAACTTTTTTCTCTTTTGACATTGTACTCCCTGGTACAAGAATTGTTAAAGGCATCCAGTGCAGTTTTTAGGGCTTGGAAACCCAATTTTTCAAAGTCAATATTGTAGTTGTTTATCTACATACTGGTGTTGAAACCACACTGTCCCAATGTATATTGACGCTCTTGGAGCAAAAATCCACAAAAATTCTGACGGAAAACGGTTACTGGAAGGACCCTTGGCTGATTTTGGGGTACCTCCCAGAAAATAAAGGACTCATCTCGGGGCTTGCTTCTGCAGTTGTATAAAAAAGTGTAAAACACTGACTCATATGTGCTATTGTAAAGCAGTACGTGTGAATATGACAAAGATTGCCTTACTCAGAATATTTCCATTTTTACTGACATGAAATCGCATTGGATGTGGGACACACCATCCCTTCTCCCTGTACACTCCTTTGTAATGAGTCCAATTTTTGGTGTGTCAGATTATATGATTTTTGCATATCTCTAGACGAATTGTTTTGTCTTGTGGAAAGTTTACACAGTAGTTTCAGTACCAAGGACAGAATTGTGAATGGCAACATACATGTTTATCACCTGCATCACACCTGCTCACCTGTTCTCACCTGTACAGGTAAGCTGACAATTGTGGTGGGCCAGGTGGGTTGTGGGAAGTCCTCCCTGCTGTCGGCCATCTTGGGAGAGATGACAACTCTGTCTGGTCAGGTGGTGTGGAACAAGTGAGTAGCCACAGAAATTTTTGGGGAAAAACTGCTGTGACCTGTAGAGATCTTGAACCAGTTTAGCTCAAATGAACAAGAATTGATACTCTTCGGCACCACTTCAGATTTGACAGAAAAGACAGATACATGTAATATGTACAGTATTTACAGGCTCATGGTATTCCCCTAGCTCTATTCAACAAATACAATGAACAGTGGAACGGTAGCATGCATGCAAATTGGATGAACAACAATAGCTCAAACTCACAATGTCTTGGTCCACAGGCAGGGTTGCTAACCACCTCACTATGCACTCTTCTAAAATTAAATATTTACAGGGTTATTGAAATCATAGACTGAGTGCACCATATGTTTTACCATGGCTACAGAATCCATGAAACTAACCTGTACTATATTTCTGTTCCCTTTCAGGAAGCATAACAAGGTTGCCTATGCTGCCCAGAGACCCTGGCTGCTGAACGCATCGCTCAGAGACAACGTCATATTTGGTCTGCCATTTGATCGATCAAGGTCTGTCCTGTGGTTCAGAAAACTTTTGGTAGTTTCTGTCAGGATCATAGAATGTCCTATAGAGCTTTCAAAAATGTAAGGCAAGTTACTTTCCTTGGATATTTCTAAAATTGTATTAGAGTTCTTGTTTATAATGATGCTCATGATTATTTGCATTGTCTTGCCAACATAGCCTAGATAGAGTAGTTATACTATTATATCAAAGACTATCATCATAATGGTAACTGTAGTGTTGATACTAGCACTAAGCTTATTATAGATCTTTCCTGTACAGTAACAGTTTGACATATAAGCTTTATATTTAACTGTTATAATACAGGTATCAGCAGGTAATCACAGCCTGTTGCCTTCAGCCTGACATTGACATTCTGCCTGGTGGGGACATGACGGAAATAGGAGAGAAGGTACAATACATATAACTATCTTTCTTTTTATCTGTAAGAAACAGGAGCGAGGAGTAGAAACAGATAAAAGCCCTCCTGGCCCCGAGCCGGGGTTCGAACCCACGGCCTCCCGAGCACCAGCTTCATAACCAGACGCTCTAACCGCTTGGCCGAAAAGGTCTAGACTTATTGGCTGGGTCAGTTGGTAGCACCTATGAACCCCCCAGTGTTACATATCAATATGTTAAGTAAAAAAACAACTTTATTGCACATTGCATGTATGAAATACATTTGTCAGATGTATAAGAAGAAATACACACCAGTCCTTTATTAGAAGTTGTTTATTGCAAGTTCATGCCCGAGGGCTAATTTCAAACAGACATTGACAAGAAAAATGTGGTGATATAAGACTATTTGCTAACATGAAGTTCTACGTGTGCGATATACTTATCAAACCTACTATCTCTACTTAAATCTAATACTACTTACTTACCACACTGCATTCAAAGTGTTTAAATCTAATAACGTTGATATACATACAGGATGTTTGAAGTAAGACCAAACTATGCTCTTTGCTCTTTCAGGGCATTAACCTGAGTGGAGGACAGAAACAGCGAATCAGCGTAGCTCGGACTCTGTATGCAAAAACTGACATCGTCTTCCTGGTGAGTTAATAGATAAAATAGCATGACTGTTACTTCACTCAATGGTGTGACGCTGCACTGGCCCATGTGCAGTGGAAGGAGAGTGATGGGCTCCACCTGGACTCCAATACCGTGCCATAGACAGAGTAGATACAACCCATTGCCCCTATGTCCTAAAAAACCTATGGGACTAGCTTTGCCTTTGTTATACTGATGGTTGCCACCTCTGAAATGTTAAATAAAGAGTTGTATTAGTTAACTGTAGCGGTTACAGTTCTCATTTTGATTTCAAGCCCCAATCATGCCAGTACTGACCCCCTGTCCACCTTTGGTCTATGATGTTATAGTTTTGCATGTGTGATGAAAAAACAGTTTTAAACTGTATAATTATAGTCACTTACGATTTGTTGATTTGTTACTTATGATTTGTTGATATTTTCTCTTCAGTTGCCTTGATTTTCATTTAAGTATTTCAATTAATCTGTTTAATTGTGATTGTTTTGTTATGTTTAAGGAGAAGGACTTGTACAAGCCTTTAAGGCTTCCTCCTCTCCTGCACAGTTTTTTAAATTTAATTTACTTCACCAATTGCATCTTGTTTTTTTGTGCAAAAAAAAAGAAAAAAGAAAAAAAAATTCTTCTTCCCTCTAGGACGATCCACTATCAGCCCTGGATGCCCATGTGGGGGGCGACCTGTTTGAGAAAGGCATTATGGGACACCTGGTGAGGGAACGTCGGACGGTCGTCCTGGTAACCCACAAGCTGCAGTACCTGGAGCACGCGCACTTCGTGAGTAATCTGATCTGTGTCAGTTTCTTCAGAAAATAGTTTCATCAGGTTGGTAAAGTATAGGATACAGGAGTTCTCATTTACACAACCAATTATCTCACCTCAGTTTCAGTTTCAGTTTATTTTATTTAACCAGTAATTACAACTCAGGCCATCCCGGCCTGTTTTTCAGGTAATCCTGGATACACATAAAAGTACACACAACAAATACACAGTACATAAACTATTACTAAATTACAACATCCTAAACATCAACAGTGTCAAAATCCTGCACCTAATGTTCTGAATAAAAGTCCTAAGAAGTCCTGCTCCTAATGAACTGTTTAAAAATCCTGAGAAGATGCCAGCACCTAGAGTGCTGGCATTTTGGTTGTGTATCAGACACCTTCCTCAGAGTTTCTGACTGGAGTTCTGAGGAAGGTGTCTGATAGACAACGAAATGTCAGCACTCTAGGTGAGATACATGATTGTAATTGGTTGACAATGTGTAAATGAGAACTCCTGTATCCTGTGTCAGTTTTTTGTTTAGCTGTTGGTTGCTTGCGTGATGTTCAGAATTACTATCAATGTATGTTGTCTATCATAAGTTGCAAGGTGGTCTTGTGGTAAGGGTTCTGGGAGCAAATCCCTGGGGAAAGGCACTACCTACATGTGGTTCTGCACACTAGGTGTAAATGAGTACCTAGCTTCGGTTTGGGATGTCCTATCGGACGGGATGTCCTGTGGTGTCCAGGCTGGTGTAAAGCCGGAGGTCCTATGTTTGAGAAGAGCCACACCTTAAATATGTTGAAAATCCCACCATACTTATCATAAAGAGCTGTTAAATTTGCAAAACTATCATCTTTCTTTCACAGCATGTAGGCCTCATTTGACTTGCTTAATATGAAACTATGGAATCCAAGCAACAAGCTTGAAGTTTCCAGGCCAAAAAATATGGCATTTTTCTTAATCGTGCTCAAATGTAGGTTGTTGCCATGGATGGTGGGCAAATCCAGACTACAGGGAGTATGAGAGAGATTCGGGAATCAAACCCTGAACTGTACAACAACTGGAAGGACATCATCCTGGAGGGCCACAGGAAGGTGGCAGCAGGGCTGGGGAGGAAGGAACGGGAACGGCTGCTGTCTCACAGCAGTGTGGGGTGAGTGTCGGTGGGGGGAAAAATGTCTGAGAACCGGACTCATTACCTCTGTGTACATAACATTTTAGTTGGCAGAAAGTACTGCACCTAATATGCAAATCTCAGATTTTTCACAGTTTTTGTTGGATGTTTGGTCAACATTGCATCATAATGGCCTGGATTCAGGTGAATATTCAGGAGAATATAATTTGGCCGCTGCAGACAAGATATTTTAGCACACAACAATTGAAAACTAACTGATAGATGTCATCCTTGAATGCATGAATGTGACTTTGAAAGATAATTGGAAAAATGCATACTCAGTAAGAAATTTACAATAATAGGTATAGAACTAGAAATTCACAAAACTGTTTTTAATTTTGTTTGTTTTTCTTACTTGGTAAGCTGCCTCAAGGCATAATATAACACCTGGTTCAATTTTGCTATTTTGTAAATACAAGAAACTTACAGAGCTGTGAGAGATTACTCTCCAAGCAGAGGTTGTGGGGGAATATCATCGTTAGCTTTTTATATATGGCCTTTTTTGTTGTTGCTACCCCCACCAACAGCGACCTTCTCTGGCTAATGGATACTGCCTGGCCAATTTGATACTGTCTTTTTGCCACCGAAAGGGATCTGCTTGGAGATTATGAGAGATTTGATTTCTTGTTCTGAAGGTCTCGCTCGAGCCTGCAGTCCGGGGGAAGCATGAGTGGCAGTGATGATGAAGAGGAGGCGTCAGCGGAGGCAGAGCGGGCTAAGCTGCTGCGTCAGCTGTCACGACAGTTCTCCGCATACAGCGTAAGGTCAAGGGTCGGGTCAGTGGGGTCAAAGGACAAGGAGGGAGAGGAGGAGGAGCAGGAGGAGGAGGAAGGTGGGACTTCAGGAATCTTCAGAAAGAAAATCTTATCTTAAGAAAATGTATTAAAAACCTTTGTGGATTCTCAAGAATATAACAGTTGAAACTGGTAGATTTTGGATGGTCACTTCTGTGATTATCCTTCCAACTTCTCTTTTAGTGAAAGCTGGGGTAAGTCATTTTATTTCATGTTACCAGTATGAGTTATATACTAACAGTTCTATATTTTGTCAGCCCTTTGTATGCATATCCTTTGACAATAAGATACAATTATTGCTTTTATGTGGTTTTGGATCCCTATAAAATCATTTTGTATCAATTGAGGAATGAAGTAATTACCTTACTGAAGAAGCACTAAGACTTCTTCTGTGGCAATGGGTAATCACTTCATCTACATGTACACTGAGTAAAGTAATATTATTATTGTATTCCTTATTCCCCAGCTGCAAAGGGCAAGCTTGTAAAGCAAGAGGAGCGTAATGTAGGAGAGGTGGCTCTGACACACTACCTCACCTACGCTGCAGCCTGCGGACTGGTACTGGTGGCAGTCGTGCTGTTCTTACAGGTACTGGGACAGTCACTGCTGCAGTTAGAAAATTTGGGTGCACAGAAAAGAATTTGGTGTACAACATGAGAATGTCAGCAAAACATTTTTAAATTAATACAATCCTTTAAGCTAGTACTGCCTTTCTTCAAAAGTTTGAATTTGAAATTCCATGATAGCTGATAT